TTTGGATTTCACGAAAAAAGTTTGTAAAAGTTTATCTCATTATAATTATTTGTATTTGTGATGCATATCTTCCTTGGTGTCTGATATTTCCAGTTAGCATACTTATTTAAAAACTGAGGGTTCACAAGTTCCAGTTACCACAGAGAATCTGACTCGACTGTCAAAGATACTTATTGATGTATGGTTTCAAATACAAGGAGCTGCTGACAACGCGGATGTTTCCACCTGGTTATCGTCGATTGTTTCAGTTACATGCATATCGTATGTCCTTGTTTCATGAAATATTGAGATCACAAGGAGGATAAACACCATTATTGTTTATTGCGAGCTCAATCTTGTCACAAATAGGTTTACTGTACATGGTTTGTACTTTGGGCGACCACAGGATGATGTGTAATAATACCATTACAGGTGCGGGGACATCTGGCAGCACTTACGACGCCCTCACATCTGACAGGGACACGCCAACAGAAGCACCAGCTTACGAGAAACTAGAGAAACAGTATGTGAACATGGCGGTGTCTGCTTATGATGAGACCTAAATGCAATCATCACGGGTTTCACAAACACACATGCCACGACATAGTATACACATGAAGCCTCATAGTAGACTTGACGTACGTTTCAAGCGCTAACTTATTTTCCAATCTCGTGTACGGAAAGATCGTGATATTGAGGGGCAGCATTACCCAATCGTCACTCAGTTCTCTATGTACATCTGCATTTCTTGGACGTACCAGAAAACTACGCGCTTCGGTTCGAATACCAGATTCGCCCTCTTTATAATTCTATAATTCTTGGTTTGTCAGCACCATACCCATGCTCGTGAGTTTCACCAAAGTTGACTAGCCCTGATAATAATACTCACCAAAGCACGGTTAGCTAACTCATTCAGCTGAACAATTGTTCAACAAACTGATAATACCTGACACCAGCTGTGACGATCAACTCACAGAGTCTATGCCACGATCCGAATGTTTCCCACTATTAGAAACATCATTACTGACAGTGCTGACATGTTTTTTCCTAAAATGCAATAAGCACTGAGTGTATCTTGTTTCCGTGATTGCCTGCGTGGTCAAACGGAATGTCAGGGGTATCAGCAGACATGAAATGATGGTACTTGTTGTTACCCTGCCTGGCACTCGGCAATAAGGACATACACTACAATATGTCTGAGTATCTCTTCACACCAGTACTATATAACTGGCATAAGTCTAGATTCGTTCATGCAGCGACACATACACATACATCCACGTCGATATGCAGTGAAGTGATCATGAAATTCTTTTCAAACCCCATTTCATCTCCCCTTTGTTTGGCGACGATCGCAGTTTTGACAGCTGGTTATACATCATATTGTCTTCTCGAAGTTTGACAAGACAGACCATAAGAAAAAAATGTTAATCTACAACATTACTATATAAACTATGCACTTTAATAAATATGTCAATTGTCAAGCAGACTGAGTTGTTTGTTCCCCACCTTCAGCAGTGTTAAATTTGCACGTACAACACAAGGTTCATGTGAACGTGTCGGCCTTGAAGCTACTTTGTTCTTCAGTGAAAGTGAGTGAGCATGGTTTTATGCCGCTTTTAGCTTTATTCCAGCAATATTACGGTGGGGGACACCAGGAATGGGCTTCACACATTGTACCCATGTACACATTTTATCACATTCTAAATCAAAGACGCACCGATTATGCACAATGATCAATTACTTATACAAATGCTACAGTATCCTTACATAACATTCCCCCAAAGCTGGAAACACAAAGGATCTCACTGATGTGTCTTTTCATTTCAAATATATCAACACGATTCTAAAAAGAGAAAAACTTCCAAGGCTTGAGCGATGATAAAGACAGGCGAGTATTTATCATCCAAAATCACAGTCATGGTATGTGACAATAGATCCATTGAGTTCATTGTGTTCATTATGAAAAACACACAGAAGATATTAACTAGAGTTCAATATATTTAATTTAAATAGTATCTACAGGTTTCCAGATCATCTATGCACAGAACAAAATAGAATTTATCACATTATTAACCATTCACCCAGTGATTATACACAATGATAAATAACATATGCATGTATATGTACAAATATTACATATATTCTCCAGTATCCTTACATAACATTCCCCCAAAACTGGAAATACAAAGGATCTCACCGATGTGTCTTTTGACATCAAATATATCAACACGGGTCTTTAAAGTGTAAAATCCAAAGGCTTGAGCGATGGTCAAGACAGGTGGGTGAGATTTTATTTATCATCCAAAATCATTCTTCCAACTTTTACATTTTGTAAACAGTAATAACTAGTGTCTTGAGTGTAACAAATACAGCTAACCATCTTCAGTAGCAGAGAGTATTGATGTCATTTGATTGTGATGTCCATGTAAATAAAGATATTACAATAGTGTGTTTGGATAAATGTACATAAAAAAACAAATATTCACTCAACTCTCCCTCGTTAAACAATCATTTGATCAACATAAAAGCAAACTAATGTGTCATGATTTATGTTTATTTGAGTCGTATCAAGACACTTTTGCTGAACAATAACTATGTCAGTCAACGTTGTCATGCAATGAAGCAAATATATTCAACTGTGAGTATTGAACTTTCCACAATAATGTTTGCGCTAGTCGAAAGAGAGGATCAAGTGTATATAAAACCAAATTAAAAATGCATTATCTGCCATACGACGTTTGCTAAGTGGGTCAGATGACTTTAATGGTTGATCTGTTAGTTTGGCGAAATGAGATATATGTGTGTATGATATACAATATTTATACTCGTACGTGCCCAGGTACTCTTCATACGGCTACGTCATTTGCAGCCAGCTGTACAGCAACATCCTCTACAACATCAGCGAGTGAAAGTGAGGGGAATTGTGGTGCCGACCTTGTCCCAGATGCATCCACTGCTGAATATCACCGCTCGTAGTTACCAGCTTATACGTAGTTACTCCACTGTCACAAAAGCAGGCTTCAACTGGAACATATCACATGTTGTCAAGCCTCGCTAAACACAATGTTTCTTCCTGAAACAGGATATTACCAACTCCAAATACACTCACGTTATCGCTTCTATTCACGTTCACATATCAATACTATCAAGTATAACTATTCAGACCAACACCACGGTTTGAGGGTGGAAGTATGCATATTTCTGTGCGTCTGCACGCGGCTTGTTATGCAATACTTTATCAAAGTGCTTTTATTTGTAATGGAAACGTTTCATGAAATTCCTTCCGCTCTCCCTTGGTGTTCTTCCGCTCTGCCATAAGTGAAAAATGTGGTTAATAGTAAAAACCAGGCTTCAATTGGAATATGTCACATGCGGTCAAGCTTCGCTCAATACAATGTTTCTTCCTAATACAGGATAGTACCATTTCAAAACACACTCGCGTGGTAACATCTATGTACGTTTACTACATCACCATCAAGTGCAACTAATAAGACCAAAGCCACGGTGCAAGTTTGCATATTTGTGTGGGTCAGCACGCGACATGTTATGCAATATATTATTTAGAAAGGACACGTTAAGAGGTTGCGATCAGTGAATTAGCTTGTATTCCCAATATCGAAGTATGGAACATTCTGATAATAGTGAGTGAGTTGGGTTTAACGCCGCTTTTAACATTATTCCAGTTATATCACGGCGTGTCAGCTTAATGTGGGAGGAAAGCCCGAAGTGATGCAGATATCTGACGTTTACCACTTCGGTGAAACCCACGAGCACGGGTATGTTGCTGACAAACCTAGAAACATAATCGGGGCGAACCGGGATTCGAACCCACAATCATAGGTTTCTGGCGTGGCCAAGGGATGCAACTCTGCACAGCGAATCGCGGCGCCTTAGACGACTGAGCCACCCATGCCCCCCATTCTGATAATAGACTACATATATAACACGATTGTGTAAAAGACTTGCTATTAAGTCAGTGACAAGCCGTTACAGGTAACGTGATCAGGGTGACGCCAGAGAGTCATCGTCAAGTTCCCAGTGAGACAAATTCATCAATCAGTACAAAGCAATGAATAGTGCAGCAACTTGACATATATACTTAATTATTGGCGTCCAAAAGGTATTGCCTTGTAGCAGACTTTATAAATTACATTTGTCAAACTATCCTTTCGTCTACGTTCAAGTATGGCCCATGCGAGAAAATTATTTTCTAAGTATCTAAGTATGAGAATGTTCGTGACCCAAATTGACTCTTTCACCCTTTTGTACTCTTATTAGCTACATCCCAGAGGAAGGAATTGCTCATAGCAGAGAAATATTTGTTGAAAACCTAAAAAAATATCCATTTTGTTATTTTATACATTTTAGTCTTAATTATGCATTTAGTGCTTTTCAGTAGTCCCACTTGTTGAAATGAAATGAACAAAGTTCACATCAATATTAACTAGGGTTAACATCCATGGTTATGAACTGTTTGATAGGAATTACATAGAAGCTGACGGATGACAAAGTAGACCCAATTTATGGATAACAAATTCGTTATCAACTGTAAAGGCGGCGTTTCGGTATAGATCCTTGAACCGTTTTCAAGTTTAAATGTTTTCCTTATTTGTTACATTATGCATATTCGCAGTCAGAAAGGATCCTTATTCAACCTTATGTGTTGAAGCCATTGCCAAGACTAGTGTGATCATGAAGTCGAATTTTCAAGTGACCCACTTAATTAAGACAATGTACAGAGTTACGTCCAATAGTCGTCCGAGGATCCCAAATTCTCTCTGATTACGATTATTGTTCTGTCAGCACAACATCCTTGCTCTCTGGTTTCACAACAATCAATCTTTGCTCTTTCCCGCTCATTAAGCTGACACAGTGTAATACAACCTGAATACTGCTTAAAGCCCCGTTAAACCAACTCTCTAACACACAGGCACAATAATGTACACAACGACCGCCTTAACATGACATAGATATTAATGCGTGGTTGACGGGTATATATGTGTTGTTGCTTTGTGTCAAACTCACAGTAGAACTTACCCCTGTACCCACCACCCGGAAGTTGAAAGGCTCACCTCAAGTAGATATACCCGACTACCATACCAACATGTGTGTATGTCAGTTCAGGGAAGTCTACACATAGTCTGTGCAAAATCCTTCATGGAGATCAAAATACGTCATTTGTGGATTATTATCCTGATCTCATGTGGTGCTAGATGTAAGTATATGTGAATTATATACTTGAAAATAGTACAGTTGAACTGCTTCACTGCACACAGCCCAGCAGAGCGAACATTCTCGTGTGTGCTGTTCAGCAGAACGTACATTCTCGTGTGTGCTGTCCAGTAGAACGTACATACTCGTGTATGCCATTCTTTGGAATGAATCAGATTCCAATCAATCTTTCAATAAATATTTTCTTTCAGTCTTGTGATCGTTAAACTCTAGCAATAACAACCTGACTAATGTAATGCACAGGACTTAACAACAAGCCGGCCTCCATGCGTTAACCCTCTAACGTTCAGTACGTGATGTCCTCCGATTACATGCTTTGTCACACATGTGGCTGTTCACAAGAGATTTGTTCTAAACGGTTGGACGATGTGTACATATAACATGTAGGTAATCGAAGGTGTCGACGTTCCTCTGTCCCGTATTCACCAGTGTTAATACCGGCATATACAACTCACTGTGCGATAACGCACCCATTGTATGTGTAATTGAATGCTAAGCCATGTATGTAAAGATGCATAGAAATGAGAGGAAGTTAATCCCCGGGCAGTGACACCATATCAGCCCCTCTGTGTACAGGTGATATCACTTTAGTATTATTTGTCATTCAAACAAGCACAATGACACCACCACGGGGCGGTCGGGTAGCCTTGTGGTTAAAGCGTTCGTTCGTCACGCCAAACTGTGAGTGAGAGAGTGAGTGAGTGAGTGAGTTGAGTTTAACGCCGCTTTTAACAGTATTCCGGTTATATCGCGGCGTGTCAGCTTAATGTGGGAGGAAAGCCGGAAGTGATGCAGGTCCCCGACGTTGACCACTTCGATGAAACCCACGACCACGGGTATGGTGCTGACAAACCTAGAAACATAATGGGGGCGAACCGGGATTGGAACCCACATAGGTTTCTGGCGTGCCCAAGGGACGCAACTCTGCACAGCGAATCGCGGCGCCTTAGACGACTAGGCCACCCGTGCCCCGTCACGCCAAAGACCCGGGTTCGATTCCCAACATGGGTACAATGTGTGAAGCTCAGTTCTGGTGTTCCCGGCCATGAAAGTTCTGGAATATTGCTAAAAGTGGCATAAAACCATACACACTCATCCACTTGCTCACTTGCTGTAGAGTATGAATCCGTTTATTTAATAGTAGAAGTATCAGAAAAGTAGAAGAAGAATACCCTGTAAACATAATAATATTGAATTTATCACATTTAGAAATAACACAGTATAGCACATGTCACAGTAGTATCACAGATACAAAACAAAGGGAGATAAGCGATACCTTACTTCTCACATCTAACAAGAAATAAATAGTATTACATTGAAGACAACCACTTTCATATGTTCAATAGACGTTTTTGGCTAGAACTTTAGTTCATATATACTACTATCCATTCTATGCCATAATAACATTGAACTTTTTTACAAACAATATATATGCTAATCTCATGTCCACTCTCTTTAGTACAACCTCTCATCTTTAGCTCGACATCATTAGTACGACACCACGAGGTACATTCTCGTTGAGGCAGATGATCCAATCAGCAAACCAAAATCCTCAATATCATAAATAAGATTCACACTAACATGAAATACATGTGCTATTCATTAACCTGGCCTAAACGAAGAACAGGTAAGAGAGAATACCATGTACAATACCTTTGTTAACAAAACTGTATAACACAAACAGGAAACGGTTTTGTGCAAATTCTATTGAATTTTTATATACAAAATAAAATACAACTTGAAAACATCCATAAATTCCTCACTGTTGCAGATAACCAGTGTTTGCATGTATAGCAGTACCAACTAACTGACTCTATGTTAAAGTGGTCGCTGAGATTGTGCAGGTTCATTCGGGATATTTCACATTCTCAATTTGCACTTACACAGGTTTTATACGTATTTGAAACGTTAGGGTATTTGTGTTCAATGTGTTGAAAAGTCGACTTTTTCTAGTCACAGATTGCGAGAGTGTCATCGTTAGAGAGACGGAAACGGCCAGATTCAGGTGGCAGGTGCCACGAGGGACATCTGTCCTTGCAATGTATGTGCTGAACCCAAATGGGACCGGCGTCCTCCTCGCTAACACAGCAAACCGGCACCTTGTCGGCGGGGCTTGTGTCCTTTGATATGAACAATGTCAGCAGATCTGATGCTGGGACTTACACTTGTGGTAACGGAGGACTGAGTGATATCATTCCGAACTGTGGACAGACGCTCGTTGTTCTAGGTGAGTGTATATCAATGCAATTCGATTTTTAGCCCTACATTTCCATCCTCAGATGCTGAGAGTCAGACTACAGCCATCGCCTACCCTGGAGATAACAGTACAGTCAGCTTCCTCATCCCACAAGGTGGTCTTGGGACAGGATCTTCATTCTACTTTGTTACACCAAGTGGTGTGATAGCCTTTATTCTTACAGCATCGGACGTATTCATAGCCACAGATCCATATAAAGATAGAGTAATTTTGGAAGGCAGCTATTCCTCGAGGAACATCACATTTGTGCTGAAGAACATTACAAGATCGGATGCAGGACATTATAATTGTAGCACTGCGGGGTCTACCAGTCATATACCGAACTGTGGCTTGAAGCTTATAGTCATCGGTATGTTGTTTACATTTGATAAATCAACCATGTGCATACGATATGAATGTGTTTCAGGAGCCAACTCAAATCAGAATAGAAAGTATTGTGTGTCTTCCTCACCTGACTCTAATAATATATAAAATGACATAATATAAACAAATAAACGACTTATCATAGCAAAATTTGTGTGTCTTGTAAAAGCGTGCCAACAATCATTTCAGGTGAGCCAACCAAGCCAGTCACATCACTTCAATCAACTCCCGTGGTTGGCAGGAACGTCACAATGACGTGCTCATCTACATCTACAACACTGCCTGCAGATCATGGACTGACCTTCACCTACACCTGGAAGATAGATGGTGTCAACATTAACTCGCCAGGTGGCGCTAGTCTAACAGTTCTGGTTGAGAGTCATGACCCACAAGATATCACCTGCCACGTGACAGAGGATGAGGGCCTGGGGGGAGATAGCGACGTTCTGATGATAACTCCTGACTGTAGGTATATAACTATAGATTACCAGATACACATCGGTATGTGGTGGTACTTGTTGTTAGACAGTGTAACCACAGTGGAATGTCTACAACTTTGAACTGCATACAAATGGTGTAATGCCAAGGTTACCGTCACTCTGAACACTATTCCGATTGAATTAAACTGAACAAAGATAGATTATACTTTTCCTAACTTGCCTGTACAGCACAAAGTGGAAGGTTCATAATGTATATATAAATACTCAATAGTGTAATATTACTTGCTGAACAAAATACCCTGTAATGATAAATTTGCTATTTGAAAGCACTACTGTACGTGTGTATTGGGAAAGTGTTGCTTGGTTTGTAATATATATTATAAAAAAAAGGCTTTGAGTTTGAATTGATCATAGTATACACATGCCCAACAGTTAAGCGCCACCGACCATTTTTGTGAGCTGTTACTTTTGGCACTTAATGATGACTGTTATAACGAGATGTATGTACGAGTGTTATAAGCCGTATATGTAAACCTCATGTGATGCAAAAGTTGTCCCAAAGCAAGTTTTTCTTGTGTTCCAAAAGAATATGAGCAGAATGGACTTTTACCGAAGACCAGAAATTGAAGGATTAGAAAACATTGAAAAACTTTTTCTGTCATGTAACTGTCATGATATCAGCAGATCAAATCAGTTGTCACATAGACACCCTAGGGAGTGCAGAGTCTATTGCAAGACAGAAACGTCAGTAACGTGTGTATGATCCACGGACATTGACCACAGCTTCAACCCTACGCCCTCATACTCATTACAAGTCGTTGAATGCTTCTCTGAGGCAAACGGATCCATTCTTCATGAAGTGCGGCTTCAAGTCCAGCGAGATTTTGAACTGGGGGATCACTATGTCTGATTTTCCGGCCAAGAATGTCCAAGAGATGCTCAATCGGATTAAGATCCGGACTACAGGCCGGCCAAGGAAGAGTAACAATAGCTTCTTGACGCAAATAAGCCAAAACTGCCCGAGATCTTTGTGGTCTAGCATTGTCGTCCATGTAAACAGGTCTTGTCTGAAGAGGATGGTTGTCAAAATGAGGGACTACCACTGGACAAAGAACGGCATCTTGGCATTGTTAGCAATTTAGGTTTCCAAGAATTGTCACCAGCGGAAGTTTGCAGCCGAAGGAAACACAACCCCCTGCCACATGCTAAGGTCTTCTGGATGTTACTTGGTGCAAAACGAGCATTACGTTGCCTCCAAACACGTATTCGACCATCAACAGTTCGAAGCAGCATTCGACACTCGTCAGACCAATGGATCCTTCTCCAGTTGGCCAAGTTCCATCGACTATGGGCACGACACCATATCAGACGATTCCGCATGTGCCTCTCAGTCAGTTGAGTGAGTGAGTGAGTGAGTGAGTATGGTTTTACGCCGCTTTTAGCAATATGCCAGTTCCATCGACTATGGGCACGACACCATATCAGACGATTCCGCATGTGCCTCTCAGTCAGTTGAGTGAGTGAGTGAGTGAGTGAGTATGGTTTTACGCCGCTTTTAGCAATATGCCAGCAATATCACGGCGGGGACACCAGAAATGGGCTTCACACATTGTACCCATGTCGGGAATCGAACCCGGGTCTTTGGCGTGACGAGCGAACGCTTTAACCACTAGGCTACCCGACCGCCCCCAGTCAGTTGAGGACGTTTTACTGGTCTTCTGGCGTTATATCTGATGGATAATTCACTGCAGTCTTAAATCTGTTCATGTGGCAAATGGATTTCGTCTGACTATCCTTAAAAGACGTCTATCCTCTCTGTTAGAGGTCTTTCTTGGACTAAGACTTGGACATCATTGGTTTGACCATGTTTGACAATCAAACGAGTGATAACACTGATGACGACCCATTTGCAGTGGCCATGCATGACATGCCAGCAATTTTCATGCCTATCACTTGCCATCTTTCAGCGTTCGTTTCCTTTCCTTGTGGTATCTGGACAGATGTGGGTTCATGAAACATGAGGCCTAATTCAATCATATTTCGTATTTCTGATTCCCACACGTGAAATCAAGAGACTATGAATATGGTGGCGCTTAATTTTTGTGCATGTGTATATAACACTATATATATTTATATTCTAAAACGACACATGTGTTTCTCCATGATGATACAAATGGAACGTTTAGAAGAACGTTTTCAGTATTGAGTTATATTTCTAATTATTTGACTTTACAATCGAATTGCAATTACTTTCGTTTATGTAACTAAAAACCAAGTTTGAATTGATTCGTAGCACTGATCTTACAGATCCTCCGTACAATGCCAGCATCTCGTCAACATCTGTACAAGTCAAGGAGGCTGACGTCGTACCCCAGGTCACGTGTGTCAGCACGTGTCGACCTGCATGCTCATATTCCTGGAAACAAGGATCTCAGACAGTCGTGACTGGACAGGTCCTCAGTCTTGGAGCAGCAAACAGGACCATGGCTGGCAGCTACGTGTGCACGGCAACTAACACATATGGCATAACACAGAGTCCTGCTGTTTCACTTGATGTCCAATGTGCGTATGGCTGCATTTCATGTTAGAGTAAACCATGCTTGTGATAAGAGGCGACGAACGGGATCTGGCCCTCTGACTTGCGTAGATCGATGCTCATGATTTCAAACACTGGATTGTCTGGTCCAGAAACGATTCAACAACAACTGGCGTTAAACAACAAACAAATCATGTATAATAAAATAGAGTCTGGATCAGACAATATAGTAATTGACATCATGAGCATCAATTTACGGCAATTGTGATAACAGGACAAACAACCAAAGATATAACATCACCACGGCTGATCACCCAATCCCTCTGGTCGCCTTTTACGATCCATTGTAAACCGGAAACTTCACGACGTGCTGAGAATGATTATTAAAGTGAATGAAGCATGATGACATGCTGGAACTAGTTTGTATGAAATATGGAATATAAACCACAGGTGGTCAAATTTACTTGAGTGAGTGATAATGGTTTTACGCCGCTTTGAGCAATATATTCCAGCAATATCACGGCGGGGGACAGCAGAAATGGGCTTCGCACATTGTACCCATTTGGGGAATCGAACCCGGGTCTTCGGCGTGACGAGCGAACGCGTTAACCACTAGGCTACCCCACCAACCCCAAACTTACTTGATACATCATATATATTTACAGAGATGCTTTGCATATTTCAGCGTCTTCACTGTTGTATTGACATATTTTATCTAAAATGAAGTGAAGATACATATCACAATGTTTCTTAGTTTGCATAATTTAGACAAGTCGCATTACAACTACGACGGATGGACAAAGTAAAGGTATAATTTAAATCCGCCTTTCACTCTTCAGATAAACCATCTGCAGTTTTAATGGCTAATGGTCAGTCCAATGCAGCTGGAGTTGACGAAAGAGGCTCTGTGGTTCTGTCATGCGCAGTAGACAGTAATCCTTTCTCCAGCATCTCCATCATGAACGGCACTATTCGACTGAACCACGTGACAGAGGCAGCCACCGCCAGTTTCAACTGGACTGGAGCGGATTGTCTTGACGGCAGCGTCTACACGTGTCTTGCAAGGAACATAGTTGGTGAAATGACAGCATCAGTAACAGTAAATATAAAATGTAGGTACCTTGATGAGACTCTAAAGGTATCTGGTTTAATAACCAAGATATTCACACATCTATTGATATATTCTACAGCCACGTATGCCACCTGGAAGTAGTATGTCCAATATTGAGCGTAAATTTTATGGGAAATTAGAAGGTGATATGTTGACTCATATCCTCATACTGACTTGTCAAGAAGCAATGTATTTGACAAGAAGGACGACTTTTCGATAAAGAAACTGCATTGATGTATAAAACTATAAAGTCACTGTCATTGCAATAAAATACTTGACAAAGAAATATTTTCAATGCAGGGAGAAACACGTGAAAAGAAATACTTTATACATTGAAGGTTCCCCGCGGCTCAATTTCCAATACCCCACAGGGAGGGACGTGTATGTTGACATAGGACAGCCAATCAGATTACAGGTGTACATCCTGGCCTTTCCACAACCGACTTTCACCTGGTTTAAACAGAATGGAGGTAGTGCAGAACCTGTCGACCTGTCAAAATGGCGCCAGTATGACGAGGCCATGACGTCATATATTGTCACAGATATTGTTGAAGAGACGGATTATGGAGTATATAATGTAAACGTCACAAACACACTTGGAAGATTCCGAATGCAATTTCAACTTGGAAAGAAAGGTGGGTTTGAACTAAATAATTGAACTAACTGAAACAAAATATACCTTTGACTGAAATAACACAAACACGCACCATTATAGTAATTCATTATCATGTGATCATGTTTCCTTATTGAATCTATGGTATTTTCTTTATCTTTACATACAGCACCACTTTCTGTACCGGAGAACTTCCAGTGTCAAAACAAAGCCGGCAGCTACATCCTTCAGTGGACACCGGGTGGTGATGATGAGACAAGAGGCGTAGGGTTCCTGGTGGAACAAAGACTGCCACAGGCTAACTGGACCACAGTCTCCGCCACTGTTGCAAGTGATGGTATGATGAGACAGGTGCAGTTTCCTGAGTCTGGAGACAGGACAGTCTTCTTCAGGCTCTATGCTGCAGAGGGCGCTGCAAGGACGTCACCAGTGACAGCGTCATGTACATCATTCACTGTTGCAGTCGACAATGGTATGTCAGACCGATACTATATTTCAATGTTCATTGTATGAATATTTTTGTGCTCACTTTTATAACTTTTTAACTTTTTTTTCAATAAACATATCCTTAATGTTTCAGAGATCGTAGAAACATGATTATCAAACTTCATTACGCTTTAATCGTTGTTGAAGTTTTCATTTCCTTCCAGGTAAAATATGATGCACGTCAAGATCAGATAGACAAAGCGAAAACATTTTATTGCTCTTACGGGGGCGTTCACCATCCAATTTCATTCGTGTGATATTCAAATACTATTACTTACGATAGGCTCCGATATCATGCTTCTAAAATTTGACTTTGTTTTGAAAGATGAAGCTATCTAAACTAACATCCCTTTCTCTGTGTTCAGGTGAGCTATCGTTCGGGGTAGGTGTGGGCGTTGGCCTTGCTGTTGCAGTAGCTGCTGCAGCAGTGTGCCTGGCTGTAGTTTGTATCTGCAGAAAGAAGCGACTGTCACTAAGGAATGGTATGTATACATGGCTTATCAGGATAGGAGATACACGTTTCCCTGAGACAAAGCACTAGCTCAGTTTATATTGCCACATGATATGGATGACAGTTCACTCAGACGACTCTCGAAATATGAGCGAACACACAACATGAACAAAGTATGTAGCTGATGTGGCTTAACAATGCTGTTGAAGGTTGTCTGAGGAAGCGGATCAGTAATGTTCGTGGCAAGTTCATTCTACAGCTGTACATAATGTGAACATTCGTCTAAATCTACCACATCAACACTAAAGCTATAAATGATGCATGGTAATAGGAGGGTAAGAACCTAAGACGTGGATGATGATGAAAGTGAAGCCCAACTCCAAAGAACTTGAACTGAGAAAGAGATACCAGTTTGACATAGTCAGAGACCTAATCCTGATACCATGTTTAACATGTTTGTGATATTTCAAAATGGATACTAGGGTACCAGCCTGATATTGGTATCGGCTTGTCATTATGACATAACTCTTGCATTATTAGTGAGTGAGTGGACAGGTTCTTTAAGACGCATCAGCAATATACCAGGTATTTGCGACAAAGTATGGACAATAAGTGGACCACTTCGTATAAAGTTCAACCAATTTCATCACTCCCCTAACTGCAGTCATGTGGTGTTCAAGACGTACAAACTGAAAAGGAATGTACTACACCAGAAAATGTGTGAGATGGACTTTACCATAACAGGATGTACACCATGACAGGACACAGATTTATACAGTTTGCACATCGGTTTTTCGATTCATACCTCAATGAACCGGAAAAAATACAGTCAATGTTTGAATGCACACAAGATACCGAACTATCGGCTCACATTACTTTTATACTGCCAACCAAGAATATTCTTCAAGATCTATGCACCACCAACAAATGAGGATGGGATGGTCAACTGAACACAAGATCTCTTTGGAGAAATAGCTGGAAGGTCATCAGGAAGAGGATGGAAGATGTCTGAAGCTGTGACGTTGGGGAATGTTTTTTCAGGCAACTTCTGTGGTTAAGATAACATCCATACAGCATTTCTCATGGGCCAGACTTGCATCAGTAAAATCAGTCCTCGCTTAGAGTTAACAACTGTGTCTGCACACATTGGGCAACTCATGTAGAAACAACTTGACACCAATAGTGATAGTGTCGCTTGGGTTTCTATCCATGTAATAATGGGTCACCATATGCTCATCTAATTTCACTGACGTGGTTTGATGGGATATTCCATTAAAACAATTATTTACTTGTGTTAAATTAAATGCACCTTATTGTAATATAATGTTGGATCGAAATGAAATATGTCAGTTAAGGACAAGTTCATTCTTTTATTTGACAAAATAAGCATTGTACACATACAATACTAGTTTTGTTGCTGACCAGTTAAAATGATATGAAACAGAAAATGTAAAACACACATGCACCACACTATTAATACACTATTGATGACTGGGATGATTTGATCACGCAATAATTGTTACGAACATGACACGGGTACAAGCTGTTATAGTGTGGGAGATCTGTGTTTCCAGATCCGTCGAGGCAGAAGGAAGAGGAATCTGTGTAAGTACTTTTGGCTCTTGCTATACTTAAAATAAGTGAGTACTTAAACATGTTGATGCTGAATTGAAAGTGGAACAGATGTGTTGTTCATTGTACCCTGTTATTACTGTATCAGTGTAGACTATATCATTTGTGATAAAACGTAATTCGCAGAGGAAAGTTAATTCATGTTATATGGACACACACAATAGAATGTCCTGCAATGTGACGCTACTGTTTCTATACAGATATCATGAGGTAGCTGCATCTACCGTGACAACTCAGCACAGTCGCCAGCAACATCGTCAGTCAGGTAAAACAAGGATTATAGACTGGACATAAGTCACATTCTTGTTTACTGGACCCGAAAAAAACACAATATTGACTGTGGAAGAAGACCGCGGTCGATGTTGTTTTGTTCGGGTTCATAAAACATGTAGTGGCATAAAATATAATTGTTTATTATATAAGAAAGCGACAAAGGCACATTCAAAATAGGCTTGGGGTCGCTTCTGTCGAATGTCACGTGACCGCTCCTTGGCAAATGAAATGGCGGAATTTCAAGGACATAAAGAAAGGAGGTTTATATCCAATCCTTGTCAACCAATGGTGTATTGTTGTCCTTATAATTTGGATTTCACGAAAAAAAGTTTGTAAAAATTTATCTCATTATAATTATTTGTATTTGTGATGCATATCTTCCTTGGTGTCTGGTATTTCCAGTTAGCATACTTATTTAAAATGTAAGGGTTCACAAGTTCCAGTTACCACAGAGAATCTGACTCGACTGTCAAAGATACTTATTGATGTATGGTTTCAAATACAAGGAGCTGCTGAGAACGCGGATGTTTCCACCTGGTTATCGTCGATTGTTTCAGTTACATGCATATCGTATGTCCTTGTTTCATGAAATATTGAGGTAACAAGGAGGATAAACACCATTATTGTTTATTGCGAGCTCAATCTTGTCACAAATAGGTTTACTGTGCATGGTTTGTACTTTGGGCGACCACAGGATGATGTGTAACAATACCATTACAGGTGCGGGGACATCTGGCAGCACTTACGACGCCCTCACGTCTGACAGGGACACGCCAACAGAAGCACCAGCTTACGAGAAACTAGAGAAACAGTACGTGAACATGGCGGTGTCTGCTGATGATGAGACCTAACTGCAATCATCAAAACAGAGTTCAGTGTATGACAAAGCAGCACATTCAATATGTCTCATTATACGTCTTCCATGAGGTCTTGGCTTACATCAGTGGGTTGGCTCTATCTTTCTATTTGAAAGCGTCTGAGACGCAATAATTCGAAGTGCCGAGTTACGTCCCTTAGGTGTGCCAGACACCCGTGATCGTGTGTATCTCAGATCCGTTGTGGATACCCTTCGTAGCTTTTCCGCACTGTACCAGTGCTCGTGGGTTTCATCAAATCAGTTTTCCTCCCACACCAAGCGTTAACACCATTTATAACTGAAGAATTCCTACACAGCTGCGTTAAACTTATTACCCAATATGAGCTACAATCACTAAGCAACCAAACTGCACACACACACTCCATTTTCTGTAACTATATTTGATTTCAGAGATGTACATTGTTTCCCCAAAGCAATCTTATTTTTAGAAGCTTATAGATATTTACATGTATATACATATACATATCTTTAAAGACAGTTTAAGAGAGATTATGTATTCCCTGAGGATGGTTAGATATAGCTGTAGTCACTAAAGCGCTGTGCAGTAGGGAACAATACGGCGGGTTTCACAAACACACATGCCACGACATAGCATACACTTGAAGCTTCATAGTAGACTTGACATACGTTTGAAGCGCTAACTTTTTTTCCAATCTCGTGTGCGGAAATATCGTTATGATATTGAGGGGCAGCATTACCTAATCGTCACTCAGTTCTCTATGTACATCTGCATTTCTTGGGCGTACCAGAAAACTACGACCTTCGGTTCGAATACCAGATTCGCCCTCTTTATAATTCTAGGTTTGTTAGCCCCATACCCATGCTCGTAAGTTTCACCAAAGTTGACACGCCCTGATAATAATACTCACCAAAGCACGGTTAGCTAACTCACTCAGCTAAACAATTGTTCAACAAACTGTATATGCTCAACTGTATATAAATATGATTTTTAACATGTACATTATTATCAGTATTACTTCTTTCATTTGGAGCCTCTTGATATCCGTTACCTATTGCGACAAGAAGATCATGATAATACCTGACACTAGCTGTGACGATGAACTCTATGTCACGATCCGAATGTTTCCCACCAGTGCTGACATGTTTGTTTGTTTTCAAAAATGCAATAGGCACTGTGTGTTTCTTCAGGAGAAAATTGGTGTTTCCGCGATTGCCTCCGTTGTCAAGCGGAATGTCAGTGGTATCAAAATACATAAAATTATGGTACTTGTTGTTACCCTTCCTGGCACTCGGCATTAAGGAGATACAGTACAATATGTCTGAGTTGGGTATTTCTTCACACCAGTACTGTATTACTGGCATAAGTCTAGACTCGTACAAGCAGCGACACATACACATACATCCACGTCGCTTTGCAGTGCAATGAACCTGAAAGTCTTTTTAAACCCCATTTCATCTCCCTTTCGTTTGGCGACGATCGCCTTTTTAACAGCTGGTTATTCATCATATTTTCTTCTCAAGGTTTGACAAGACAGACCACAAGAAAAAAGTGTTAATCTGTGTTATAAATCTACAACATTACTATATAAACTATGTACTTTAATAGATATGTCAATTGTCAAGCAGACTAAGTTGTTTGTTCCCCACCTTCAGCAGTGTTAAATTCGCAGGTACATCACAAGATTCATGTGAACGTGACGGCCTTGTCGCTACTTTGTTTGAGGATTGAAGTTGTATTTACTGACGAATCACTTCATGGTAAATTTGCTCACGTGAGGCTCTGTCTTCATCAGCTGATGAACGTCAACAAATACAACTTCAATCCTTATATTGACAGATACATAAATCATAACAAAACAACCCATTAAACATCAAACTTTAATTATTTACAGCGAACTATATCTCCGCGGAGAGTCTAAACGTCGTGACGTCATCCGTCCCAAACATTCAATTTGGAGTGACATCCCTTGCTTTTACAAACGTCAGAAAATGGCGGCTACGGCAATGTCATTCACTTGAAATAATAGTTGCACCCAGTAAAGTTGGAGTTGGAAAGAAATCCAGACCCGGCTGATGCTGAGAACGGATTGATATGAACGTTCTGTGAACTTTGGGTGTGTGCTTGAATCATACCATGGCTGCTGATGACGGGGGTTACCGCTTGAGGCAGCGCGGTTGCATTTCCCAAAGCAATACACGACAGTGTGGAGCTCAGTGATATCTTTTGGTTAGTCGAGCATTCTCTGTTATAGCTTCGAATGGACACTTCATTTCGGTGACCCGACATATACATAATCTGTCTGGCTTCAAAGCCTGCATCATTCATAGCCTGAATCGATGTCGCTCTTTTGAACACTTTGAATATTTGGAAACATCAGCCATGAAACCTTTGAAACTAGTTTTACCTAATGATTTACAAGTATACCATTTTTCGTGACTCAACGGTTGTGAAATGGCATCCTTAACACACTGGTTAAATAGAGAGGTAGCTTGAGTGTCGGTTCCACTGATAAGGTTTTCAGCATTTGAACTGGACAGTTTGGCTCAGCAGTTGAGTACATTCTTTTGTCAGCCATTGCCTCTTCATTCTTCGTTGGTCGCGAGACACCACTCTGCATCCTGTGCTTCAGCAAACCTACTAAGGTCTGATTTGCTTTTTTGACCAACTTATCATGAGCAATGTATATCTGTCTACCAGTAAGAGATATTTGATGATTGATGGCAGCACAAATGTTTTTCAGTGTGTTTTTGTGATATTCTTAAGTGGTGACGACATTTTCTCGGAATGTTTAGGTTTTGCCTCACAATAAAACTTGGCCAACTTCTCAGCAAGTGCCTCCGGGGGTACAGCTTCCATGTCGAGCACCTTGTTAAAGTCTTCCAGGTGCTAATCTGAAATAGATGTAATATTTTCATGTTTCCTTTTGTCTGATACTTCCATTTCATAAAAAGAGCTGTAAATGTAATGCACACCAAGAATTTGATTAACTTAGATTAGTTGGATTTAGGCTCATTTTTGAAAACATTTAAAAATATTCTCATACCTTGAATTCTCAGTCCCCACTTTGTGTTTTTCTTCGTTGATTCAGACTGATGTAATGACTCGTATTGCATTAAAACTCTGCACGCTAACGTCAAACCAATTCGACAGAGGTGTCACTCCCCGTGCATCTGATGTCGAACCCATTCGACAGGCGACTAGCATAAGGACACCCCAAGGTAAAACTCGCCATATCTATTTACCAAGAAGGCTTTGCGTAACATTTAAAGCAGTATGACGTGTATAAATTCTCAACTTGATGAATATATAAACTTTTAGTAGTTTATTTACCTCAAATAGAAAATCCCGCGAGTTAAAAAAGTATCGGTCAAAAGGTGGAAAAGGTGGTCGAAAAGGTATTTTTGAACCTCATGGAACTTTCTTTCAACAATGCACTTGTCATCTTCAAAGCTGCAAACCCAGGTATTCTGAGAAATTTAGATTGTCATTGCAACAAAGATTCTGGATGGATATGATCGACTTGGAGTAGTAAAACCTGAGCGTCCTGCAGCCAGCCTGGAGCGTCCTGCCAGACTTACAGCTCGTAATTTCCCTGGTAAGATCCAGGAGAAAAACCCCAAAGGTAAGATGTCATGCAATGATTGTGTAGTGTGTTCCAACAGAACTGCAAGAAGGCATCAGACCACCTTCATTTGAAAGAGCTGCAATGTTAACATGTGCCCTGTTCCATGTTTTGAACGGTATCATTCGTTAGTAAATTATAGAATAACGTGCTACCCAGGTCTTCATGATTAAAAGCCATCATGTTCTTGTTACTGTTTATAGTTATGGTTGTTAGACCATCATTTTGTTTGCAAACAATACAAAAGACAATTATTTGCCAATCAAATGTATATACATATTTTAATGATAGTGTTACTGTTTCTCTCTATTATTTATGTATTTAGTATTTTCTTGCACATATTTTGTTTCATGGAAAAATATTAATTAATGGTACTAAATACTGACTTATTCAAAAGCTCCCTTCGAGCATCAATGGCAGAGACACCTGATTTGGTTGGTTTGTTGTGTAACGCCGCACTCAGCAATATTCCAGCTATATGACGGCGGTCTGTAAATAATCGAGTCTGGACCAGACAATCCAGTGATTAATATCATGAGCATCGATACACGCAATTGGGATCGATGACATGCATCAACCAAGTCAGCGAGCCTGACCACCCGATCCCGTTAGTCGCCTTTTACGACAAGCATAGTCGCCTTTTACGGCAAGCATGGGTTGCTGAAGATCTATTCTACCCCGGATCTTCACGGGTCCTGAGACACCTGAGTATACATTATGATATACCTGGAAAGTCCTTGACTGACATATTAAAGAAGAAAAAAATGACAATATAACAGTGACTGAAAATGTTACAAGGTGCAAATAATTAAGCAATAATAAATCTATCTTCAATTTGCAGCCAAGGAGGAATTTTAAATGTTGATATATCCTTATTTTAATTGTAAACGTTATGTGAAATTGTTCTAAATTCAGTTATGCTATAGATTCTGGACCTGGATAATGTATAAAGTAAAGGCAAAAATAAGTAAAATATCCCCAATTATATATATAACTAAAATTGCTAATATTTTTGAATATGTTTTAGTATATGCATCATGCAGTTGAGAATATCTATCAAAAGCATGAATGTTATTGTGAAACAAACATTTTTTCACGCCCTTTTTTGCGCACCTGCCGTGGAGGGTGATCATTGCCGATCCACGATATTCAGAGACGTATTGCGTGGGGCACACTTATTATTGTGAAAAAAATAAATATCAGCGTGTACATTGCAGAAACATGAATCATATCCATTTATGATCAACGTAACATCGAATGGTTATTCTTAAATAAAAGTTCAAATAAAAGATACGGTGAAACTTGCATGTGGAATGTTGATTCATCGTCTACCGTTTCCGGGTCACGGGAGCATGCAAGGTCAAACGGATTAAATAATACGTCAATTATATCGTCAAAGTCATATTTTTATTTCATATTAGTGGTGATTATTGATAATATGTATTGATTTGTGTTTATTCTGTACGCGACAGGGGAACTATTTCAAAATTTACTGTAATTGTTTTGTTACGAACGATTATCAGCAGACAACCCCTGTCTGTGACATCACATCCGGTGACCTTTGCACTTACTGAAATAGTGCTATCAGAGTTCACGATCTTTTTTACTTTCGTCATATTAAACGGAAAAGACAAAAGAAACATTCATCGATTGAGAAGATCGTCAACTTTCGCCAAGGCATATATGTGAAGGCAATGCAAACTTTGTTGATATTAAAATAGCAATAAGTTATGCAGAGGTCGTGCGAAGCGCGCAATGTTTGATTTTCATACGTCTGCTAGCATCATGACACGGGATTTACATTTTCGTATATCGTCAATATTCAACCAAAACACTTTAAATTAGGATTGATGAATATTTGTAAGTCATTAATTGTTTCCTGCAAATTTTATAACATAACACGTTAGATTAACCCGAATGTTCGTATATCTGCAACTGACATGAAGACCTCGAAATTTAAGGTTTTTTTTCTGTTTACGTGTGGATAATAAATTTACTGAAATGATTCATAATTTACCAGGGCGTTGTTATTTTCCGAAAAAAAAAATCGAATTTGTACTCAGTTAAAATATGATTATTGAAATAAATTTGCACAAATTTGACGATTTAAACAGGTTCCTTACATGAAACACAAACCACCTTCAATAACCCCAGATAGCATTCAGACGTTGGCCCAACGTCGGCAATGGTTGGCAGTGTTGCGGTCTAGTCGGATTTCATACGTTGGCCAAACGTTGTTTCAATGTCAGGTCGCATTTCGGAAATTATTTCCAAGGGGCGCTACTCTTAATTGACAGCTTCTCATAGAGGGCGCTGCGTTTTTTTCGCCTCTCGACGAGCAGACGACGCGACAAAAGCACAAGCTCGATCATCGGAATACTGTTTTCTTCGAATATATATATAGGTAAGTGTTTAATTAATGTCTTGTTATAATGTTCAAACAGTACCCGAGAAAAAACAACCATTGTTCATTCTGAAATATCAACACGAGTAATGATTTTCCAGAAATTGAAAACACAACGTTCACTATGTCAGTGTCACTAACTTCATGACCGAAGCCGAATAGGAATATGTCACTCTGATTGCTTGCAAATACTGCATACTATTACTAGCATTCCCAGAAAATCGAGCTTGTCCGTATCATAAAGTTTGTCCTGATAGCGAGGACAAGTTAGTGCAAAGAAATGTGCACCGTATCTCGTTACCTGGTTCTAACAGTGGAGGTCACCGGACAGCGAGCAACCACATGACTACTGACTATGTAAATGAATACTAGTTGTTTCGTTCTCGCGTATGTTTAAATAACAAGCAAACTCAACTGAAAAGGTCAAATTCGCTCTCGCTTGTGACAATTAGCTATACGGTAAAAAAAGATCAATAAACTGAACAACTGAGAACGATGCTGCTAAAACTCAAAGCATTCCGTGTACGGTCATTTTAAAAAAATGTCAGAATTTCAACTTAGCAAAAACATCAAAATTGACTTTTGTAAAATAACTTTTTTTTATTGATTCAGTACACACAGCAACTTCTGAATAACAATGTTAAGCAAAATAACACCTTAATAATCAATGATGTCCTAATTATGATAAATAATAACTCTGAATAGGAAAAATATGTCTGTCCTGTTCCATGTTAACAATTATTTTTTCTGTAACAATATTTTTCAAAGTTCAAAATAAATCATGTCAGTTCTTGTTTTTAAATGTATTGTTTAATATTTCAATGAGTACAATTAAACAGAGATTGGATACATTATTTTATGGACAGATTTGCCCAGCATTTGAGTCAAAATGAAAACATTTGAATTCATTCAAATCCAATATGACAAACATTCCCTGATTATTGTATCATATATCTGACACATAAAGTTCATTAGATGATATATGTTTGAATTCAAATATGTTCTTCTGAAAAATTAAAAAAATCTATATTTCTATTTTAAGTGCTGGTAACAGGACAGACAACGTAGTAACAGGACAGACAATTGAAAGTAACAGGACAGACAATCGGCTTTGATTGCAGATAACTATAACGTTCAGGAGTTCAAGATTTTGATATATCTGACAAATACAAAAAAGTATGTGCAGTTGATTACACCTGAACATATAAGGTGTAATTAACTGAATATTCTTGTGTGTGATCTGAACTATAGAAACCGGTCGGTAACAGGACGGACAATTGAACGTAACAGGACGGACTAACTTATGTTTACAGTCAACTATCCTGTTCAGAAGTTCAAAGTTTTGAACTCTGACAAATAAGAAAATGTGTTTCATATGGACATTATTAACTGAATGTTCTTCTGTGTAATCTGAATGTAGGATACTGGTAGGTAACAGCACAGACGGAAGTAACGCCAAAGACAATAACTTTTGCATTTTGGGTTAATCCCTAGAATTACAAAGAATTTAAATTGATTTAAACTTAAACTAAATAGTCACGTGACAGTTTTTGTCCTGAAGCAACAACATAACAACCAAATTTATCCATGTCAAACATCAACATATTCTAGAGAAAATGTCAGAAGATTTCCTGTTTAAGCTGTATTCTTTTGCAATTGTTAATGTATTAAAAGTGTCTGAATGGGTGAATTATAGTTTCCTTAAAAGTACAATTCACTTGCACCTATGATTGTTTGATTAGTGCCAGAAATAAATGGTGTCTTTCATTCACCCAGAAACCACAGGTTGTTTATTGTTTCTGCTTTATCATATCTGTCATAACTTCCCTGTAAATTTGTTCAACACTGAAGTGGGAAGCAGTGCCTTCAATCTTCGTTGGTTCAGGAATGATGGCAATAATGTCCTCGTGCTTGTACCAGCATTTATCTTTGAGGATTCTTGGCCAGAAGAATCATTTTGAATCCCATTTTTTGCCAGACTTGTTCCTGCATTCCTCATATATATTATGGTATGTTTATGGTACTGTTCGGATGAACAAAACCTTCCAAATGGCGTGCTGGTTTTCTTGGGGGAATTAGTCAGCAAAGAGCCGGAGTTTTAGGAGACAGAGGTGAATACTTGATCCTGTTAATCCTGTTGGCACTAATCTTGTTGACATATTTCCTGTGTGCTTGGAAAGAGATTAGGGTATCACAAAAGACGAGCTTGTATGGGGGCTAATCCTTAATGAGTCTAAATTGAAGTAATTGCTGAATGTTATTCTAATATAGGTGATGACAGATTTACTTAAATAAAATAGTTCAAGGCAATCTATAAGACAATGTAGACATATTTTTTGTCTGGGAGATGGGATCTTGATACCTTAGGCTAACATTTATTTAAAAGCTTCAAATCTATTAAACTATGTAGTCTACATAACTCTTGTCTTATTGAATAGTATGTCTAGGAGATGCACTCCCATTACCTTAGGCTAGCATCTATCTAAAAAGCTATAACTGAAACTACTGATATTTTATATATGCATTTAACCTGATGATAAGTATTACTTGCTAAACTATAATTATATGAAATGATGTATAAATATTACACCATGATAACTAATAAAAGCAATATCCAGGATATGGAAAAAACATCATATACACTCTTCTGTATCATCTGGAACGGATAGCAAAATGTCACTCTCACTTTTCTCAATCTCACCCCTCTCCAGCGCACCACCTGTCCTCTCCATACTTTTCCCAGTCTCACCCTTCTCCAGCGCACCAACTGTCCTCTCCACACTTTTCTCAATCTTACCCTTCTCCACCACACCACCTGTCCTCTCCACACTTTTCTCAGTCTCACCCTTCTCCACCACACCAACTGTCCTCTCCACACTTTTCTCAATCTTACCCTTCTCCACCACACCACCTGTCCTCTCCACACTTTTCTCAATCTCACCCTTCTCCAGCACACCACCTGTCCTCTCCACACTTTTCTCAATCTCACCCTTTTCCACCACACCACCTGTCCTCTCCACACTTTTCTCAAACTCACCCTTCTCCAGCACACCATCTGTCCTCTCCACACTTTTCTGAACCTCACCCTTCTGTTGTTTTATCAGATAGTAGTCTATTTTTTTATGCATATGTTTTCTTCTAAACTGTGGTAAATTTGAAAACATATCTCTTTATGTTTCCTAAAATTAGAATACTGAGTGATTGGATAAGAAAAGTTAAATAAAGCTGACCAGATGTCTGTGCTGTTACCAATAATATATTTGTCTCTGCAGTTACGTTTAAGTCATAAGCAACTTGTTTTTATTCAGCTTGGAAGATTTGTACAACCATAGCCTCTTGAATGTCTCTGTTATCTCAAAGGAATTATTTCAGTTATTATGGTAATTATATTATTGATTGGTTAAACTAGGAAAGACAGTTTAAGATGATAAGTCTGTGCTGTTACCACGGAATGTCTGTGCTGTTACCACGGAATGTCTGTCCTGTTACATGTTTGAAGGTAACAGCACAGACAGTAACAGCATAGACAAATTAACATTAATTACGTTTTTTTTAATGAGTTCTCCCTTGAAATGTTGAGACCACATGATGTGGTCTCAACATTTCAAGGGAGAACTCATTAAATGACATGGTATTGTGAACAGTTCATATTTTCTAATATTCTGAAAAAATGTTTTTAGAAAAAAATATTTGTTTAGGCCAAAATGAGCAGTAACAGCACAGACATAAAAAAATGGGTATTCATGACAGGAATAAACTTCCTTGTCAAGCAGAATTATCCAAGGTCTTATCTCACTTGAAGGACACTGCTGCCATGATAGTACAGGAAGTAATGTGTATTTCTGTTATTTTAAATTATGGGAATCTAGGAGGATTATTCATTTTTCAGTTTTGATCCATCCTGGTAACAGGACAGACACTTTTTTATGTACAAATGTTTCTTACCAAAAACCAATATAAATAAAAGTGTGTATCTCTAAAAGATCATTTTATTCAATGAGATAGAAAGGTAATGCACATTATATAAACTTTTTTTACATAATATGTTTTATTTTTAGCAACATTAAACAATGTTGATGTGCAAACATAAGGTTACGGACACACCCTTCAGCTCAATTTAACCACAATTAAGCAGTTTTAATCAAAATAAACTACACAACAGGAATTACTGAAACTTAAACTTTCAGACACTATGGTATGTTCCACCTAACACTTGTGTTTATTTAAACATATCTAAAATAAATATTTTAATTGTTATTCAACTCGGACTAAAAATCTCACTTTTTTTTAGAATGACTCGTACATGATATAATACATACCATGCAGGCTCCTGCTGATCCATGTATGGAGCTTTTCCTTGTTGTCAGCAACATCGCGAGTTTTAGATCACCAATCAGTGGCCGTGGGATCGTGTTTGTTGTTATTTGAAAGGGATCGATTATTATTTATTTGTGTATATTTAGAAATTATCAATTGGTTAAAACGAAGGGAACGTATTGGATTAGATTGAATCTAATCCAATACGTTCCCTTACTTTTAACCAATTAAGAATTTCTAACTGATTGGGTACGAAATAGTCATTAAAGCATTTCCGATTGAGAATAATATATTTCAGTAAATATTTACAGAGATTTTTCAACTTTGTCTGATATTGTCTCAGATATCGCATTTTGCTAATTTTCCCAACGTAACTATCTTTGTAAATGTTAGAACATATATAAATATCCTGGCATATTAATATGGAAAATATTAATGTTATTCTTTTTTAAATTAAATAGAATCTATAATCACAATTTTAATTAAATACCCCAAAGTTTTAACACTTCTATTACTGATTGGAAGGTCAATTCATAATCATATTCAACATTCTTGCGTTCAACATGGGAACTATTTATTTTATTTGGCAATATATATTTTTCATTTATTTTTTACATCAGATTTTAGAAACTATTTACATACGTAATTCAGGTAAGTTCAAGAAAACTTGCAAATTTAAGGTTCGTTTTCGTCTAAACCTTGGTATAATTGAAAACATCAGGATATTTTTATATGGTAATGTGTAGCTTTCTATCAGGAATAAATGTGCAAAATATTTCTTCAATTGGCCGTTATATAATGAGGCACCGACTGTTTGAAATCACCCACCCTCTTATGCTAAAATTAATCCAGCAGGCAGGGGTAAGAAGTGTGAAAATAATTCAGCAGGCTAAAGGTTAACTCGTCCTCAGTAGGCACTTTAAACGCTTCGGAACTTTGACTGAGACGGAATTTCTGGGGGTGGTAAACCTTTGTAGTCAGAAAGTGCTAATTCATCTTCAATTTCTCGTTTTGGGTATTTCCGATGATGTTTTCGTTAAAAATGTCTGCAATAACATCAGGAACGCCTATATCAAAATCGCAAAAATGCATCAATTCATCAAAATCCACGTCCTGACCAGCGTTCGCCATGGTTCTGGTATCGGTGATGTCATGGGCCATGCAGTGGGGTTCGCTCAACGCACGCGGCGCGTTCGATACTTGCAAACAGATGTTTGTGACCACATTTCTATTATAAAAAGATCAAAAGTCATTCTTTATTTGAAAACATAGATTGTGTCTGTAATGTACAAGCCTTTTGTATATTTCGGTCAGTAGACAGTGAGATGAATCATATTGTACATGTTGTATGCGTTACAGCATACAGCCGTAAAGATATACGTTATTGCTACATGAATTAACGTATATCACCATTGATCTTACTGACTGTTTGTTTAATGTGCAAAAACAAGATGTGAACACGTTCTATATCACCTGTTTCGATTTGGCAACGTGATAGTTCGTGTGACGTCACCTATATTCGTGAGTCTGTTCCACGAAACTACTTCTTGTAGCATAAATGGCTTAAATCTGCCTTGTATGGCTACAAAATTGCATATAGTCCATCTAAATGCATTGTATATTACTACATAGCCGTGACACGAAGTAAAATAACTTCTGTCACTGGTGGAGTGCAATTTCCCCACGTTCCACCGACCGTATCCTCGTGCGAGAGACTACTTCCGGTATGACGTCACTTTGTTGACAGTTTGATCGGTTGTAGAAATTCCAAGGAGAGAGAGATGGCCGGTTCGATCCGAAAGATGTGAGTTGACATTCAAGTATTTTATATTTCTTGTACATTTTCTAAACTGAATGAAATACTGAAAAGAATAATTATATTCTTGTAATGTAATGAATGTTATTGTGTATTTCTTAATTGTTCTTGATAAGGTAAATAATTAAAACTGTGTGGTTGGTGGTATTGGGAGTGATCCACCATTCGCTACCAAAAGCTCTACCCCAATACCCACCCCACTGAACCGTTACAGTGGCATACGTTCTGGTTCAATGTGCATATTCTAAAAGAAATTGTCATATGATTATACCATCCCTATTTGACGTTATTTTTAGACATTGAGGATTTACCCAAAAGTAGTTCTGTATGTCTCCGCGCGATTGACAACGTATTCACGTGACATACTGACGTTCATCGGGAAATGAATGACAGTCAGCTTGGTAGTGTTCATCTAGACGAGGTCGCCCGCTACTGTCAATATTCTTCAGTGAAAGTGAGTGAGTATGGTCTTACGCCGCTTTTAGCTATATTCCAGCAATATCACGGCGGCGGACACCAGGAATGGGCTTCACACATTGTACCCATGTACAGATTTTATCACATTCTAAATCATTCACCCACCGATTATGCACAATGATAAATAGAGGTTATCACGCGAGTGTGTTTGGGGATGGTAAATATCCTGTATTAGGAATAAACATTGTATTTAGCGAGCCTTAACGAGCAAAATACATAGTGTTTATTCCTAATACAGGATATTTACCATCCCCAAACACACAAGTGTGATAACCTCTTTATCATATAATGTCATTCTTTAATTTTGTGTTTGGAAATCGCTTTCCCTCCCTCACAAACATTACATTAACATTGCGAGTTTTCCTGGAATGCGCGCATTAATATTTGTTACGTCACAGGGTAAGTGATGTGTCAGTCGGACAGTGACAGTAGCCAATATAGTTCCAACTGAAATCTGTTTCTTTTACAGTGGCGAAGCAAAATATACGCATAACAACAACAAAATTTACTTGCATTTCGCGGCAATCCATCGGTCTGTCCGCTGGAGTAACTGCCCTTTGTCAAAGGGAAGCTACTCTAACCCTAGTCTATGAGACGTCATGGCCACGTTCAGACATTGTTGACAGTCGGCCTGTCCTGTCAAAACGTTTGAAGTGCAATCAGATGTACACACAGCGACAAAACGAAAGAAGGTAACAATTCAAATATATTTCGGCCAAATCCAACTATTTTAATTTGTGGAAAAGGTTTCAAGCCGCAGAGGTCACAGATATGGCTACTGACCCCGCTTGGCTAGGGCTAGTGCCCTCGCAAAATTGTTTCGAAATTTATATGTCCAAAGTTGCCAAACTTATAAAATGCCTTAGCGACGTCACAGTTAGACACTGATTTTAAGTATATTAGACTGTTCTTTTGCTTATGAAAGCAATTATCTCTGTAGTTTATCCAGATTCCCGATGGGTAGTTCTGACTCGATTGCCCAATGACAAGGGCGACGCCATGTTTGTTTATAAACACAAAAAGTAGTCCCTACTTGACCTTTGATATTTGCATCTCTATCCGCATATGACCCCAACGGATATCGTTTTTATCCGTTGGCTTTATCCTGCCGAGAAACCTACCCATTATATGATAAATAACTTATACATGTACACATTCTCCAGTATCCGTACATAACATTCCCCCAAAGCTGGAAACAGAAAGGATCTCACCAATGTGTCTTTTGATATCAAATATATCAACACGATTCTTACAAGAGACAAACTTCCAAGGCTTGAGCGATGATAAAGACAGGCGGTATTTATCATCCAAAATCACAGTCATGGTATGTGACAATAGATCCATTTTGAGTTCATTATGAAAAACACACAGAAGATATTAACTAGAGTTCAATATATTTAATTTAAATAGTATCTACAGGTTTCCAGATCATCTATGCACAGAACAGAATCAGAATTTATCACATTATTAACCATTCACCCAGTGATTATACACAATGATAAATAACATATGCATGTATATGTACAAATATTACATATATTCTCCAGTTTCCGTACATAACATTCCCCCAAAGCTGGAAACACAAAGGATCTCACCAATGTGTCTTTTGATATCAAATATATCAACACAGGTCTAAAGTGTAAAATTCCAAGGCTTGAGCAATGGAAAAGACAGGTGGGTGAAATTTTATTTATCATCCAAAATCATTCTTCCAACTTCTACATTTTGTAAACAGTAATAACTAGTGTCTTGAGTGTTAAAAGAACAGCGAAGCAGCTCCAATGGCAGAATTATTGATGTCCTTCGATTGTGATGTCAATGTAACTGAAGACCTCACAATACCCTGCAAAGCATTAGGCTGCAATTTCATTTGAGCGACAGCTGCTGTGGATGCCAGTCTTGGGTTATAAAAACAACTTTCAGATGATGTCAATATGTTTCAAGCAGGGGTCCGGAAAATTTATAATCCCAATCGGACATTTGCATTTAGGCCATGCCCCCTTCAAATAGCGTATTTTAACTTTCAAGTGATGCAGCCATTGGCCATAATAGTTCTCCACAGTGTTTATGACAACTTAGCCTCGCAAATATAATCTTTTATTCAGAACCTATTTTCAAAATACTTTTTGTCCTAATTTTTTCCGTATTGCTACAGGGCATCAAAGCAAATAACCACAAAATATGTACCTATGTCAAGTATTTGTGTTGTGGCAATAGTCCCTTATTTAACATCAGTGTTGGGACAGTTGTCAGTTATGAATATGTAGCCTTGGCAAAAGTTGAATAAAATTCTGCAAGAAGCATTGCAAAAATTTGAGGTATACTTGCCTTTATTTATCCCTAGGGAAAATAACAATAGTTAGGCCAGACTTTTTTTTTAGTTTAGAGCTTTTGACAGCGAAAGATTTTGTCATATGTCGAAAAATTATAAAAGTTGAAATGCATCGAACAGTAGTTTCTTTGGGACTGGTAGGAGATAAAAAATATATATAATAATCTTGGCCTGGTTTGTGTTCTTATAAATATTATAAGTCTAAAATCTGACAGCAGCATTTCATTGTCATTTTTATTGCCACACGGATTCTTACAGTTGGACCTATATTAAAAACCTTGTCATTCTGATTGTTTTTTTCTGAGTTCGATTTTTCAGGTTGGTGGCTTAGTAAGTAAAACAATGTAAGACCTAGTGACTGTCAATATGATGTCCACGTGGAGTGTGGGGGCCCTGGTGGCCCTGTCGTCTAAGGCGCCGCCATTCGCTGTGCAGAGTTGCATCCCTTGGGCACGCCAGAAACCTATGATTGTGGGTTTGAATCCCGGTTCGCCTCAATTATGTTTCTAGGTTTGTCAGCACCATACCCGTGCTCGTGGGTTTCACCGAAGTGGTAAACATCTTAGACCTGCACCACTTCAGGCTTTCCTCCCACATTAAGCTGACACGCCGTGATATAACTGGAATAATGTTAAAAGCGGCGTTGAACCCAAATCACTCACTCACTCCACTTGCTTGTTTACATGCCAGTGGTTCAGAAACCCATTTGAGGTAACTGGTATCAAACATATGTGTGAGATCGAATTCCAGGTGATTGGCTACTCCATGGTGATGACCTAAGGTCAGATTATGAGGGACTACTTTTCTGATTTTAAGTCATTGATAAGATACTCATTCTTTCGCTCGTTAGAAACCTTTTGAAACAATGGACAGTAATGTGTATATCCCCCATGGTTACTGATGCTATAGCCTCACATATGTCAATACAATAGAGATCTGGACATACACATGAGCATGATATGAATATTTGGCCATATAATGCAATCTGTTCTGAAAATAGACAGCTCAATACAACATTGTTTGCCAGAACAAGATAACAGTAACATGTACACATGGAGACCAGTCTCATAAATATAAGATCTCACAAAATTTAAAAGAAAACATCAAAATCTTCACAGAAAATAGTTTGGACAAAGCACATTTTTTCCCCATAACAAACAATTCAAGGTTACACATGCATGTTTGCAATTGAGTGATGAAGCATCTCTAACTGTTGTGATCTCTAACTGTTGTGACCATCTATTGCTACATGGAATACTGTTACAAATTGAGTTGTTACGCAAACATTTGATTTACATATTATTTACATTTCTAACATAAATTAAGATTGTAGTTTGAACAACTCTAACATTCCATCTCAAGCATAGACATGGCTTTACTTCAGTGTACATTTTACATTGTACGGTGTACATTTTCACAGAAAACATACACGATTTCGATTATTGACAAGCATCATCTTTAAAAAGGGTACTTCCATGAAACACATATCACAGACTCAGACTCCACGCAAAATTTGAACTGCAAAAGATTGAGTTTGCCACAAATCAATATGCAAGAATGAGGTATATTGAAGCACACCACAGTCTGAAATTTATCTGAAAAATATCACAAATTATGTTTTGCTTTGAAGCATTTGCTCCTGTACAAGGACATCCAGCTTAACAAGGACCCCTGACTACTGTGTCCTGGCTCACCTGGTATGAATGTACAGGACTAAATCATCCCTCGAGAGAAGCCATGATTCTAACATCAATACTCACACTGCCCTCTTGAAGGACAGCTTTGCAAGGTTGTTCAGAAATATTCTTTGATCACGTACAGAAAGCATAAACTCTTCTAATGATTTGATAATATTCTGCTACTCAATACTCCAGTATCAACTTCTCCACACAACAGATGAATTACACAACATTATTGCAACATTTTGTTAAGCAATAATTAAAAGTAATATCTTCAGTATGAGTTACAAAAACAATCTGGCCTTATCGTAGTTTAAGGTCATAATTCAGGCACCAAACAAATCTTTTGTTAATCAGGAAATTGAGTTTTCCTCAAACATTTCAAACAGTTGTTACTGCTTTGTAGATTTGCCTACTTTTGAAGATGGGATATTTTTCATAAATAAAATATATCAAAGTAGGTGATTGTGGTGATTCATCTTGTTCATGCTCAGTTAGTCACTGCCCCCAAAATAATTATTTTCATGAAAATAACAAATTATCAACAAAGTAATAACACTGGCATTCAGCTCTAAACATACCCAGATACATTCACATGAGACAATCCTTGAACATACATCATGTACATAGGGCAATTACCTGACAGAACCAATCTCAGATCAACAATAGTGGTTCAACATGATTAACTTAAGTTGAAGAATATAAAAAATGAAAATAACTGGTGACAAATACTATCAAACACATTTACGTTCAAGAAAATACAAGTTAGTAATATGACCGTTGTGATAAGGAATACCATGGACATAATTTAGGTTGAAGAAAATATAAGTGGAAAACAACAGTTGTGATAGGGATTATCAAACACATAATTCAGGTTGAAGAAAATATAAGTGGAAAACAACAGTTGTGATAGGGATTATCAAACACATAATTCAGGTTGAAGAAAATATAAGTGGAAAACAACAGTTGTGATAGGGATTATCAAACACATAATTCAGGTTGAAGAAAATATAAGTGGAAAACAACAGTTGTGATAGGGAAATAAAACACATAATTCAGGTTGAAGAAAATATAAGTGGAAAACAACAGTTGTGATAGGGAAATAAAACACATAATTCAGGTTGAAGAAAATATAAGTGGAAAACAACAGTTGTGAGAAGGAACTTGAAGCACATTATTTACATTGAAACAATTCAAGTCAGTAAACCAACAACTGTGACATCAAGTACATTATTTAAGTTGAAACAATTCATGTTGGTAAAACAACAATCTCATTAAAATCAGATCTTAGTTCTAAAATCAGATCTTAGTTCCGAAATCAGATCTTAGTTCTAAAATCAGATCTTAGTTCCAAAATCAGATCTTAGTTCTAAAATCAGATCTTAGTTCTATAATCAGATCTTAGTTCTAAAATCAGATCTTAGTTCCAAGATCTGATTTTAATGAGATTGGTAAAACAACAGCTGGTAAGGAATACGAGACAACTGAAACACAAGGACAGGTGACCATGGTGACTGGATTGCCTGAAACAGTGAGACTTTGCAAGAGTTGGAACACAGGCTGAGAGTGGATACACACAAGGTGAACAGATGAAAGTAAGCAGTGAGAAACATCCCAGATTTCGGACACAAACGTCCTTGTTCATTCCTGCTTCTACTCCTGTGACAGTGAAAGGATGGCCTGGTGGTTGAAGGTGCCATACTTCACTGCATCCCCAAGGATCAACTGATCGTGGTTCAAATACCAGATTACCCTTGTAACGACTCTTGCCTTGTCAAAATACTTGTTTGTTGGGTTTGTCAAATTACATATTTGTTGCTTTTGTCTTCTTTCGACTTTCCTCCCACAGTATTTCTGTCATGTCGTGACATAATAGAAATACTGCTAAGGTTGACATTTAACCCAACTCACTCACCACCTCCAGTCAGAGACTAAGTCTTCACACAGGAACATGCGTCCCCGAATAAATATCTACGCGCTTAAACATCCTTATGCATGGAGTTCAGCGCCATATAAATGGACAATTATTATTATTATCATTCCAATAAATAAGTCACAGAAAGGTTTTCTTTGGTAGTTTGATGTAAAGCCAATGTAGAGAATATGTAGGCTTATATACGAATAAATACTTGGTAGTTACAAAACATACAAACATACAAAACAAATTCAAACTTTTGAAAGTCTATAGTCACAGTCTAACATGATAACCATTAACGTTGTTGTACACTGAAAGTTTTTCAAATCAAGGCAAACCTTTACAAACAGCTCAACATAACACAGAGAAAAGTCTGCTTGGTTTTACACTAGACTATTCCACTGTAAGTAGTAAACATTACTAGCTGGTGGTTTTCCTCCAGAATCCAGCTCTGTTAAACAAACCGCTGATCCAAAACAAACAGTGGACAAGTTGGATAATTCATGTTTGTTATCCCCACACTTGGTTATATACCAGCTTCATGACAGGGCCTGTACATAATCAAGTCTCTGGATAATTTCATGAATGAATGGTTAAGCACTGATTCAAGTAGAAGCCCCGAGATTCCCACTACAAGCAGCTTCATGAATAATAGCTCAAAAGTTAGTTAAAACTCATTGATTGAGCATGATCAGTGTGAACACAAAACTTGAAACAAAACTAAACATATGTTGATTTGATGCATTGCTTTGAAATATCACAACCATTTTTGACACTGTCATGTGATAGAGAATGTAACAGTTTCATGGAATAGGGGTATGGAGTACTGGGTTTATAGATGCAAGATGGACAAGATAGTTTGTGGAATAGGGGTATGAGTTTTAAACAACACAGAAATGTGTGTCCAGAATGCAGAAATGTATAGAATGGATGCAGGAAAAATAATTATAGCTTCCCAAGGGACGCACATTAATATTCATTGCATTAAATTCTTGGCAAGAAATATATGGGTCCTGTAAGACACGTATTGATCAAATCTTACATTACAATGAACTACAGTTTCATTACCCTACTGGACCTGCATACTTTTTGTAAGAACCCACTAAATTAATTATTCGAGTCCCATGGACCCCTGTTTTGTCAGTCAAGGTAAAACCTTGATGATTGGAGATAAGATAGACGTGATAGCTTCAAGGAACAGATGTAAGTAGTACTGGATATATGCTGGAAGATAGACATGATAGCTTCAAGGAACAGATGTAAGGAGAGCTGCATATATGCTGGAAGACAGACATGATAGCTTCAAGAAACAGATGTAAGGAGAGCTGGATATATGCTGGAAGACAGACATGATAGCTTCAAGGAACAGATGTAAGGAGAGCTGGATACATTATGAAAGACAGACATGATGACACTGGGTCAGTGACACCTTGCATGATCTCGAACTGTCAGGATCAGCAAAGCAATCTGAGCACTGATGGATCATGCAACCTCATAAAGGTTAACACAGGGCATTCCAAACGACAGTTAAGGGCTGTATGACTTATTCCATCAAAATCCTTGAGAATAGGATAAATATTTGAAGTGAAAGATACTTTCCACAGCCTGTAAGGAGTATATCCATTCCATCTCAGCCATTTATTAGACATTCAAGAATTGTCATTTGTTCAGTTTCAATTTTGAATGGGGAATACTGTCAAAATATTTTTCAAAGTATAGTCTTGCATGGAAGTCGCCAGTTAGAAACTAGTGCCATAAAGCTTGAGAAAGCTGCTTTCTGATTGGCCAATGTTGACTTCCTGGTACTCATTTCACTGGTCAGTCAAAGTTTACGAAAAGTCATTGATGTGACCTGTAATGGGATGTCCTCAGTTCCTTTTGTAGCAGTAGTGAGCACTAGGATCTGACGATAATGAGTGAGTGAGTGACTGAGTTGGGTTTAGACGACTGCGCCACCCGTGCCCCCTGATGATCATGAGATTGTTGCAGACAGTTGTAGCAGTGAGAGTTAGGGGGGGGACACTGCCTTCAGATCCGAAGACTTTGTGTGAAGAGTGTGTTTCAGCACTGGTGAGCACTGAGCAGCAATCACAAACTGAGATTAGCAATCATGGAGTACAGAACATAGGTCATGAAGCACACACAAACAGAGCAGCACCTTGTCCAGGACACAACAGCCACAGTCACCTCTGCGCTGCTGCTTCCTGACAATATATGGCCAGGTGGTAATTGACTAGATCATACAAAGCACCTTACTTTTCTCAAATGAAGCCCTGTCTTGGAAACATGCAAGACTCTGAAACATCCCCATCTGAGACACCGGTCAGGAGAACATGTCACATCCTTGTACATAGACTTGTTTGGTTGTTTGTTTATTGTTTAACACCACATTTAGCTTTATTCCAGCTAGATGAGAGCAAACAGCAAATAAAATAATCTGGACCAGATGAAACAGTGATTGTTCTTATCATGCTTATGAGCAATGAACCACACCGTCAGGGTTCGATGTCACACTGTCAACCAAGCCAGTGAGCATGACCACCAGTCTCCTGTGAGGACAAGCGGGGGCTCTTTGCAATCTCATTAAAATCAGATCTTAGTTCTCGCTATTGCTAAACAAAGATCTGAGGACATCCCATTGCGGGTCACGACAGAACGACCTTTCATCCGACCAATCAGAGCGTCGCTTACCAGATCATGAAAGTTGCAGTCGGAATGTGTTTTCTAATCATGAAAAACGTCAACAATCACTGGTTTGACCCTTAGAACATACAGTTGTAATAACATGAAGAAGAGAGATTGAATAACACTGGGAATAGGGCTTTACTTGCGATTTCACACAGATTTAAGTGATCAAGGTGTACAAATATGTAGCAAGTTGTGTGACCCGTGAAGATCTGTGCTCGAATAGGTGTTCAGCAACCCAAGTTTGCCGTAAAAGGCAACTATGCTTGTCGTAAGAGGCAACTGACGGATTGGGTGGTCATGCTCGAAGACTTGGTTGATGCATGTCATTGTATACAAATTGCTCATGATTTCAATCACTGGATTGCCTTGTCCAGACTCAATTATTTACAGACCGCCGTCATATAGCTGGAATATTGCTGAGAGCGGCGTTAAACAACAAACAAACAAGTTGTGTGATTGTGGTCTGATTTTTACAATCAGAGATACTTTCCAATTAACTACTAGATACTTTCAATTATCGATTAGATATACTTACAATTAACTAGATACACACAATTGACATGCATTTTTCAAATAACAGTGCTGTCCACAACAACGTGCCTATGTGTACATCTAGAGTGTTACAACATGTACAATAGCACTCTATGCTAAGTGTTATAATCCAATACAATCTTGAAATATATCTTCCTTATTACTGTAGTGAACATTTCATTTCTCACCAATAATTTAAACATATCCTAGACTATGACCATGGGCAAATGTAATACAAAAATATAACATTTATTACGTTATACAAGTTTTGATATTTTGGCACTTTGGTCCTGCTAAATCTGCTAAGCTATACATTATCTTCGTCTGATATTCTTCTACTTCCCGCATTGTATGCTCACTTAACTATGATGACATGCAGTTCTAAGGATAACACCTTGTATATTGTACGTAAACACAATGTTCAGGGCCACTTCTTGTCCCTTCATCAGGTGAGTGACAAGGTGGAAGAACTTGCTTCACTTATGTACCGTATTCGACGTAATAAGCGCCTACGGCAATATTTGCTAATATGTTGGATAGCGATGTCCTAATAAGCACCCCTTCTGATTGATCAATGTACACAAGACTTAATTATTCGTATATAATACACACTCGTGTGTTATATGCACCCTTAATTATGGGCAATTAAATTCTGGAAAATATATCTGTCGTATATAAACATTTCGGGCTGTCAGCCTAAACCACGAAATTTACGATCTTTCACCAAAATAGTATTTTAATAAAAGCCCTCTATTTCTAATTTTGAGAGCGCCCTGGGGGCTTATTACGGCGAATACATCATATCGAACTATATGTAAATTCAACGCAGTAAGTGCCCAGGGTGCTCTCAAAGTTAGACTCTTATCACAATAAAATTTTGGTGAAAAAAAACAATTGAAAGATCGTAAATTTTGTGGTTTATGCTGACAGCCTGAAATGATACAAAAGGAAAGTCTGTGTATATTATATACGACAAATATATTTTCCAGAATTTAATTGCCCATCATTAAGAGTGCATATAACACACGAGTGCGTATTATACACAAATAAATAAGTCTTGTGTACATTTACCAATTGGAAGGGGTGCTAATTGGGATTGTTCACTAGCCAATATACATGTATCAGCAAATATCGCTGTGGGCACTTATTAGAGCGGGGCCCTTATTACGTCGATTATGGTACATAAATTTATATGTTCTGAAACGTGTAAGTATAACACAGAAGTTGTTGTCCAGAATACTCCATGTCCTGGCAAAAAAACATTGTTGACAAAATACTGCGCTGGGTTAGCCACCTGAAGTTATTATTTTGGCCTTTATCGTTTAAATTATCATTAATTTAAGACAGCAACATCTTTTGTATATATGTACCAGACATTTGAAGCTTAAACAAATAAAATTTAGCCTCTGAAATTCATGTTAGTCTGCACGCCTGAGACAACTAAATTGTGCTGAGGACATGTAACGATGGTAGTCCTCTATTACTAATAGCTATAATTCTCAATGTTTCAATTTTGCTACAAAGTGGAACTGAAAAAAAATGATAGAAACGTAAATATAGTGAACAGTTTTGTTTCTCAACCAGGGCTAGCTACTAACCCCGAGGACTAGTGGAATGAGGTTTCCACTAGTCCTCTGGACTTATCATCTTAAAACCACAGACTTCCAAGACTGGTTTAGTATGTGGAAGTTGTGGTAGTAGGATTGGAAATGTAACATGCATAAAGACATACAACCTGAGGTGATGTGACCACTAGGTATTGGAAGTAGTGCAATGTTTGGGAACATCTAATGCCATGGTCTTTCAGGTGGAAACTTGGCTTTCAGGGATGACATGAGCATACATTAACAAAGATACACCTGTGACCTGAGTCATGTTGCTTTATACAAATGGCATCCTGAGGGCTAATAGATACCCTATTTTCTTATTTTCTCATAGAGTGCACTTTTTCCCCCAAAAAAACACAGCTATGTAGAAGGGGGTGCACATTATACACGCCGTAATGAGTTTTGATGCTTTTTTCCCAAACGCAAAGACATTACTGTGAGTACGTAACACCTGAAATAGCAAGCTGCATCTATTAATTTGACTTCTGTTACCCTGTCATTCCCACTCACACTTCACACTATTTACTAGTGCGAGTTGTTCTTGTGCTCTCCCTAGCTGAAACTTCAACATGTAAACAAACATGCAAAGATGTCTGAGCTCAGGTTACAGTGACAAGTACCATCTGTGCAAACTGTTCACGATACTTTTTGCTGAATCCAAGCATTTGGCTGTGATCTGAGACAGATAGAGGACTTGTGACAGTACTTTATCAGAATAAAAAGGAACAGTTATAGGACCAATAGCTCACCCTTTGTCAGGGCTCGATTAAGCTATATAAAACACGCACCAGTGCAATCTATTACTGAGAAATGTGACCCACAGTTTATGTCAACATTAACCATGTGCTTGAAAAAGAACTCAAATTGTTTCTGCTTAACCCCTACTTGTCCACACAACAATGATCTTTGAACACCCTCAGTACCTTGACGTCATCGAACTCTGGGTACATTAAGATTATGTGCATGTTCCTGTTATGTTTTACATTAATAGGTCATTAATTCATGTGACACAGGCAGCAGGCCGGCCCATGTTTCAACACTGATGTTTTGTTTGTTTGTTGTTTAACACCGCACTCAGCAATATTCCAGCTGCTACTAGTACTAGTATATGACGGCGGTGTGTAAATAATCGAGTCTGGACCAGATAATCCAGTGATTGACATCCCACGCAATTAGGATAGGATACAATTAGGATACGATGACATGCATCAACCAAGTTAGAGAGCTTGACCACCCGATCCAGTTAGTCGCCTCTAATGACAAGCATAGTCGTCTTTTACAGCAAGCATGGGTTGCTGAAGATTTATTCTACCCGGGATCTTCCCAGGTCCTCAACATTGATACATTAATTCTGTCTGGTGCAACTGGGCTGACATGTCAACATGCCCCTGGTCCAAGAAAAATTAAGTTCCTTGAATCGGACATCCTGATAAAGTACTGTCACTCATCCTCACTAACACACAGAGGGACTGAAACTATAAGAACTGATGATATATCTACAAAAAGGAAATGACACTCCACCCAACCCAACAGCAACTGAAACATCTCTACCGTCCACCCACCCCTACAACAACTGCAACATCTCTACCGTCCACCCACCCCTACAACAACTGAAACATCTCTACCGTCCACCCACCCCAACAGCAACTGAAACATCTCTACCGTCCACCCACCCCTACAACAACTGAAACATCTCTACCGTCCACCCACCCCTACAACAACTGAAACATCTCTACCGTCCACCCACCCCTACAACAACTGAAACATCTCTACCGTCCACCCACCCCTACAACAACTGAAACATCTCTACCATCCCTATATAAATCATCTTCAGTAAAGACACTATTCAACAGTAATGTAAGCACGTCATCACAAACTATCACTTGTGTTTAACTTTTCAAGGTCAAGGGTTTTTAAGCAAACGATTTACACTTGCAATCATAATACTGCCTTTCCAAATCTAAGATATTTACATCATGTACACAGAATTTAAATAATGGACGTACATGTTGTATTTGCAACACAAATCATGATTTTTTTTCAGAATAACAACGTGAACATTAGATTGGGTTTGATAACAAAGTTACAATCAGTGAATTATCAAACATCCATTTCACACAATATTCAAGGATCATTGTACACAATTTTAATAAGCTTGAGATACTGAGCACTTAATAGTATTTAGATTTATTGAGGCTTTTCCGGATCATATATCCCCCACTAAGTTCTGTCAGCATAAAGTCACAAAATGTACAATTAGTCAAGTAAGTTCAGATTTCATAATTATGATCGCAGAAACACATTTTTCCTAAAAATCCTGCAATAGCAAATATTCCTAGGCGATAAATGAGATCATTCCTACAATGCAGTGCACAACATATTTCGGGCAGGCTACTATTACATTAATCACATCTGCTACTTTGTCATGAACATTTCTCATATAAAATATACATGTAGGACAAAGACAACCGTTGTTCCTGTTGCTGAGTTGAGTTTTGAGATGAAGCACTTGCAGACAGGTACAGCAGTGATACAACCCCTGTACCTGGAGACTTCAGTGGTCTACCTGTACACTCCGGTGTTCCACCTGTAGACTTCCGTGACGTACCTTGTAGACTCCAGAAACATACCTGTAGACTTCCATGGTCTACCTGTAGACTTCAGGGGCGTACCTGTACAGTTCGGTGTTCTACCTGTAGACTTCCGTGGTCTACCTGTAGACTTCAGGGGCGTACCTGTACAGTTCGGTGTTCTACCTGTAGACTTCGGTGGTCTATCTGGGTGCCAACATGTCCTGCAGTTTGGAGATACAGACTTCGGATGCTTGTCTTGCCTCCTTGCAAACCAGGGCAAAGTTGAGGAATCCGTGAGGTAAGTCGTCCACAAGGTGAAGGTCAACAGAGTTGCCCAATTTCCTGAGTCGCTTCGTGAACATGACAGAGTCATCGAGGATAGGGTCAAGATGACATGACTGTGAAATTAGTAGAATATTATTACTCACACAATTACACTGAGTTCTCAAGGATAAGGATGTCATTACTTGCACATGATCGTGGAGTTATCAAAAATAGGGATACTGCAATATGCCTTGGACAATGTTGGAAATTACTTGCACAGTATGATGGAGTTATTAAGAAAAGGGACAAAGTGATATGTCTTGGAACTTACAATAACAATGTTACTACTTACAAAATATTATGAAATTATCAATAATAGGGATAAAGTACCTTGGAAAATATAATAACGATAACCGTATCATGCACATCAACTAATGATCTACATTACAATCATCTTGCTGAGGCAAGTGTGTCCACTAGCCTATATCAAAACCTTAGTTTCTACCCTTGCTACATCAAGGCCACATTTCTTTGAGAGACCACGAGTTTTGCCCCTTGTTTTGAAAACGCAATATCCAATCAGATTGCTGTTCTTGTCTCATATAGCTTCACAAAGATGGCGGCTACCCTAGGTGACTACCTAGTCGATCAGATAACGAAAACATTCGCGATGTCCTCCCTGACACAAAAACATAGTCAATCAGGGGTTTAAAACAAGAAAAAAACACATGTGTGTCAACAAAGACAGGCAGCGGTAAATCACTTTCATACGAAGGTGTACAGTCGTGGATGTTGATTTTGTGAAACGTTCTCTGATAGGACTATCTATATGTGCGATAGTCCAATCATATTTAGCACAGGAAAGTTGGCTCGGTGTGGCAAGGGTGGAAACAAGGCTTTGATATAAAGGCTAGTGGACATTCTTGGCTTGGAAGATGCATTACAATGGGAAATATATAAATAGACATGATAGGCCCCACAGTAAAACCTAAATTTAAGGCTAATTACAGGAGAGCTGTGTCTGTACAACAAGTCGAACAAGATGTAAACACTTTCAGTGTATGTTGTTGTGTGAAAGATATGCAACTGAAAGTGTTAATGTGTATAGCAAGAGTTAGCAAGAGTGATTGAGTGAGTTGGGTCAAATGGCGCTTTTAGCAGTATTCCAGTTACATCACGGCGTGTCAGCTTAATGTGGGAGGGAAGCCCGAAGTGATGCAGGTCTCAGACGTTGACCTCTTCGGTGAAACCCACGAGCACGGGTATGGTGCTGACAAACCTAGAAACATAATCGGGGCGAACCGGGATTCAAACCCACAATCATAGGTTTCTGGCGTGCCCAAAGGACGCACCCTGCACAGCGATTTGCGGCGCCTTAGACGACTGGGCCACCTGTAAACCCTGTGTATAGCAACAGTCTGCAAGGCAAAGTTGATGCTGAAGTAACTACAGTCCCTCCTCCACATGCAAATAATTACTTATCATCATGGAAAAAAGATTGTTGAAACTGCTCCCGACTCGTAAGACAACACAATTGGCTTTGATGGTCCTGATTCATATGCCAGGGATATGGACGAACACTTTATACCCTATACTTTATATGGGGAGTCGAACCAGGGCCTACAAGACTACCTCCCCCAAAGTATCATTACAGTTAGAGTTTGTTGTTTAATGCCGTACTCAGCAATGGTCCATAAATAATTGAGACTGGGTAAGACAAAATCCATTAATGACACGCAATTGGGATATAACACCTCTTACAACAAGCATGGATTCCCGAAGACCAATTCTACAGGGATCTCCAAGGTGGATGCCGGCCGTGTCATACCAAAAGACGTTAAAAGATGGTACTTGTTGTTGTTCTGCATTAAGGGGCTAAAACAAGGACTGGTCGGCTCGGTGTCAGTATACTGTGTCTGAGTGGGGTATTCATGTTAAACTGCGGCATGGTATCTCAATGGGCTAGCACTATAAATTGGCATCAGTCCAGATTAGTACAGGCAGCCACACACACACGTGCCGCTCTATAATAGCAATAATCTTGGACGCGACGTTAAACCCAATTTCACCTCACCTCCAAGGTGGATGACTAAGTGTACATACAATACTGACAGTCTTACTATAAATATAGACCTAGAACAGCCAATTCAGTACTTACCACCAGACTGAGATGAGGCAGCCCCTTCAGCATGTGATCTGGGGCAAGGAGAGGAGACATGTAGGGGTTCTTCACTATAGGTAGACGCCGTATCGCATGCAGTGGGCTTTGGGCTGTGTGGCGGTGCCGGAGGAAGTCCGTGGGGGACCCCGGATTGTTCATGGTGGTCTTGAACACGCCCGCTGAGGCAGATCGATGCATGTGAGGCCGGGAAGTTTTGACTGGCGACTCGGATGTCTTTTTAAGATTCAGATGCAGCTTTGATCGCATGGCTGCTGGCGAGTTCTGGGCGGAGCTTCCTCCACTACTAGGCTGGTCAGATGTATCTCCGGTATTGGTGTCAGTGTTAGAATGTGGCATGTCTGTGCTGGGTGTCTGTTCTTCCTGGTGTGGAGGTGTCTGTTCCTCTATATGACAGCCACTGTCCACAGATGGAGTGGACTTCATCCTTAAGTCAGGATTCAAAACAGGAGCCTGTATCACAAGCTGACTTGGGCTTTCAATTTCTGATATTAAGTTATCTCCCTGTTGTGGAGTGCATTTGGAGTTATCTCCCTTTTGAGATGAGGCTGCTGCTTGTTCCAACTGTCCATTAGCAGACTGTGGGTTCTTATCAAACAGAATTTCATAACCAGAAGAGGTATCAGAGTCCTGATCGTGATTCAACTGATTGATCTGTTGGGTGGAGTCTTCAGCTAACACATCAGCAATCTCCTTACAGATTCTCTGTCCTTCCGACACTGGTGTTGGACTGTCCAGCCTAATGTCCTCCAACGACTCACCACACACCTCTGCCGTATCCTTGAAGCCTGCCTGCCCCTTGCCTTCCCCGGGGGTGAAGAATGTGTCCGGTGATGGGGAGTCCATTACGATTCCCGATCCCTCGTTCAAGTCCAGCACTTCACTTTGAGTTATAACATGATCCATTCCATCGGTACATGGAGATGGGGTCAGTTGGTCCATCTGTGAGGAGTGGACCACAGGACCCTTGGTCTTTGCTGCCTTCTCATCCTGCGAGATAATGACCCACTCCGTGTCTGTGGACTCATCGGACTTGAGCTTGATGGAACTGAGTGATTCCTGGTCACCAGGAAACACTGTGCTTGCCAGGCCGGACGCCAGCTCATCTGACACACCGGCATAGGCTGCCAAGACAAACAACATGGATGCTGTGAACAGTGAACATGACATCCTTGTGCTCATGAAACTACTAACAGTGAGTGAGTGAGTGAGTGAGTGAGTATGGTTTTACGCCGCTAGCAATATTCAAGCAATATCATGGCGGGAGACACCAGGGCCCACTTGCACAAAGCGATCTTAGCACTAAGATGTTTGTAACTCCCATACTTTAACATAGGCTTACAATAGTTGTAGCGCTAAGATCGCTTTGTGCAAGTGGGCCCAGAAATGGGCTTCACACATTGTACCCATGTCAGGAATCGAACCTGGGTCTTTGGCGTGACGAGTGAACGCTTTAACCACTAGGCTACCCGACCGCCCCAACTTCTAACAGTAAGATAAGAGTAACATGTGTAATGTTGTAAATAAATAACCTTGAAACGCCCAAACCAAGACAATATCAGCTTCTTAAAATTTCCTTCATAATATATATAGCAAGGCTTTTTTTTTTACTTTCTTTTCATAATAATTTACCCATGTTACTACTGATACTGACAATATAATGAAGATGCAGGATACCTTAGCAGGCAACAACAAAAAAAACCTGTTGCCATTGGGAAAATTTGAAACTATTTCAAACGAAACATAAGCTTAATATTTAAATGAACCTGCCAAGGCAAATCATAAGTGTTCAGTAACAATGTGTACTATCAATAACAAAAGAACTCTCATCATGTTTTTATATTGTATTTTTTGAATGAGTTAAAGGAAATAATTGTTATTCTCATGTACACGTATGGGAGAAAGTGCTCAAAAATCAACAAAAGCAGATATCACATATGCATGACAGGGCCTGCTGTGAGAGTGAACAGTATATTCTTGTTATGAAACTATGAACAGTAGGATGAGAGCAATAAACAGACACATTATTTGCTTTTGTTTACCTATTCAATAAAAAGAGTAAGATAAGAGTAACATGTGTAATGTTGTAAATAAATAACCTTGAAACGCCCAAACCAAGACAATATCAGCTTCTTAAAATTTCCTTCATAATAATTAATATATATAGCAAGGCTTTTTTTTTACTTTCTTTTCATAATAATTTACCCATGTTACTACTGATACTGACAATATAATGAAGATGCAGGATACCTTAGCAGGCAACAACAAAAAAAACCTGTTGCCATTGGGAAAATTTGAAACTATTTCAAACGAAACATAAGCTTAATATTTAAATGAACCTGCCAAGGCAAATCATAAGTGTTCAGTAACAGTGTGTACTATCAATAACAAAAGAACTCTTATCATGTTTTTATATTGTATTTTTTGAATGAGTTAAAGGAAATAATTTTTATTCTCATGTACACGTATGGGAGAAAGTGCTCAAAAATCAACAAAAGCAGATATCACATATGCATGACAGGGCCTGCTGTGAGAGTGAACAGTATATTCTTGTTATGAAACTATGAACAGTACGATGAGAGCAATAAACAGACACATTATTTGCTTTTGTTTACCTATTCAATAAAAAGATTGATAATTTAGATATAAGAACAATTTCAAACACTTAATATTTTTTTTTCAATATATGACTGTTTGTCCCATGTGTGATGCTGTAAACAACATGGAAATACCATCAAGACTTTATCACCTTCCCATCCTCATAATCATTCCAAATTTCCCAAACATTAGATTTTCAACTTCCATAATAATTTACACAGGTTACCATAGTTACTGACAACCTGACGTACCTGCGAGACACCTGGACAGGATGCCGACTGGGAGCAGGGGGTCCATGAGGCAGAGCAGGCGTGACGGGGACGGCGTGTAGCGCACCAGCACCGGGGTGTACGCCGCCATGACGCCATCTGGGCGCCGAATGCCAAACTCGGCGGCTCTCATGGCTGTGGATATCATGAGGTTCCCTCCAGCACTGTCTCCCCCCACACAGATCCTCTCCCCTGTTGTACCTGGTCAAGTCAGCACTCATCAATCTCTACTGTACACGGTAAGCATATGTCACGGAAAGAATTTCTCGAGATTCTTCAAAGTCACTACTACATTGGGCGAAATGAATTCAAGATTACAAGCAAATTACATGCTATAAAACATGACTGTTAGATTTTCTCAATAAAGACTTGGCATTACTGCATTGCTAAAAGACTAAAACAGCCTTTCAATTTTCAAAAAACATAAACTTGTTGTTTACCTTAAGTGGACAATAATAAAACACAAACTATTTTACAGCATCGCAACATCAAAGAGATTCGGTAAATAGGATTATTTCACACAGGACATGAACGTAATAATAAATCAAAGCTTGTGTGATATCCTACAAATTTGCAAATCCAATTACTGCCAATGTACATAGCGTATGCTCACTATCGCGATAGTGGCATGAGTTGACAAACCATCATCACACATCTCCCATTTTAGAGTAGGTCTTCAGCAACCCATGCTTGCCGTGAATGGCGACTATGCTTGTCATAAAAGGCGACTAATGGGATCGGGTTGTCAGGTTTGCTGACTTGGTTGATGCATGTCATCATATCCCAACTGCATAGATCGATGCTCATGATGTCAATCACTGGATTGTCTGATCCAGGCTCGATTATTTACAGACCGCTGTCATAAAGCTGGAATAGTGCTGAGTGCGGCGTCAAACAACAAACAAACAAACTAAACCTCTCCCATTCTGTAGAGTATGTGAGACCTGGACCGAGGTCCTTGGACATGACAGGTTACATTAGGACCCCAGTGGATCGGGTTGTCCACCTCAGACTTGGTTCATTGTGTGTCATGGATCTAGTATCATACCCCAATGATGCTGATTGCTGCTCACAATATCAATCACCGATTTGATCCAGTCTTGATAATTTACAGGCTCCTGTCATAGCTGGGATATTACTATGGCCCTCAACAAGAAAGAAACGTACCCAGCTTGTCACAGTTCTGTGTGGCCCATGCGTAGGCATAGAAGCACTCCTCCAGGGCGCGGGGGAAGGGGAACTCGGGGGCCAGGGAGTAGTCTATGGACAGGATGGGCACGTTCAGCTCCTTGGCCCAGTGGCGCAGGTACACCTGGAACAGTGGGTGGAGGGGGGGGGCTCATCCTCAAACAACAAGCACTCTGTTCAGGAAAACCTTACAACATTGCTACCTGAAATACTCATAGGCTCGCGTGAGCGTTTGAGCATGCATACATGCATGCATCTGTCTGTCTGTCTGTGTCTGTCTGAGATGGCTTCAGTAAGTGAGTGAGTGAGTATGGTTTTACGCCGCTTTAGCAATATTCCAGCAATATCACGGCGGGGGGACACCAGAAATGGGCTTCACACATTGTACCCATGTCGGGAATCGAACCCCGGTCTTCAGCGTGACGAGGGAACGCTTTAACCACTAGGCTACCCGACCGCCCTGAGATGGCTTCAGTGAGGTTAGGTTCAATGCCACTCCTAACTATCAAGTCCACACCATTTTAGAAAATAAAAAATCAGATTATATAAAAAAAATTTCCTTGGTTCCTTTAGATTTTCAAATGCTGTCTCTTTGTGCTCACACAACGCGCTGCTCACTCCAGAAACAGTGCATATATCCGTTGTAGTAAAAATATATCACACCAATTTATCACATACAGGATGCTGTATTCAATGAATGTAATAAAACCATACCTGCATGGTCATAAGTAAACATCATCACAAGTACAGAACATGTTCATTTGGAATTTAAACAAGTCTCTTGGGCATGTTAGTGGTCAGAATGTCCTCAAAGTCAAACCAAGCTGATTCATTAAAAAGCACTTAATAAGCGACAAATTAATGAGTCAGCATTCCTAGAATTCCATTAAACATCATGAAAGATGGACAGTGCCAATAGTTATCTATTAGACATCTCGGCACAATTTTAATAGCATATGTATCATTTTCATACAAATACCTTGGCACAATTGAAATAGCATATGTAATATTTCCATACAAATATTCCTGTGATAACATTGTCCTAAACAACCAACTGAAGCAATCAACTCTTACCTCATGTGACTTGGACGACTGAGCTACAAATCCTCCGCCATGACAGTGTACCAGCAGCCCGGGGGCTTTAGGGGCCAGCTTTGGCGCTGGACGGCCATTCTTGGACTTCGGAGGCTGCTTCAGGTGACATTCCTTAAACAAGGACATTAGCATTTCAGTGTCTCCATCCCTAGTTGATGTTCCTAACAATCTGTGCCCCAGTGAAAACACAAATGGACTTCTAACCCTGTCCGACACAGAGCATCCATCTTCCGAGGCAAGGGAGCTAACTGACTACAGAAGTCCACTTTCCATCCTTCCACTAGGTTGGAATTTCTGAGTTTTATTATTATTATTATTATTTATTATTTTGGCGGGCGGTGCAAGTCTATGCATAGTCCAGTCAAAATATTGTAATGAAATTATATCCAGTTCGTAAACAACATGGCACACAGATTTCAGTATATATGAACGGACCCGTGATGTGGACTTACCTGCCCCTCCCGGATCAGTGACGAGATGAGTCTGACCTGCACATGCCCCGGACCCGTGTGGGAGCAGGGGGGTGTGATCACCACGATGTCAGACCCATCTTCTGTTGGCATTTCAAAGGAATCTGGCCCAAGGGAGATAACCTCGTTCACCTGAACAGGTGGACACACCAGCGATGGCAAGGACTGCAAACACAGGTCAAGGTCATAGATAATCGCTTATTGTCCGTTAACCATCATTTTGAAACCCCGTTTTTTTTCACAATTATTTTCCAATAAGCACCCAAGTGCGTGACAAAATTTTGTTATTATCAAATAATAATCATTGACGTAACTAATAATACAAGTTTTGTAATATTTCATGTCCGAATAAAAGTATTATCTTCCTTGCCATGATGTAATTTTGTGACTGTTGACATGGTCTAGTAGTGGGGGAAAGAACAGATGATAGAATGTCTCACAGCAATGACTCACTCCCAGAAGTCTCACATTAGGTATGTCATATAGAGTGATTGAGTGAGTGATTGAGTTGGGTTTAACACCGTTTTTAACGTGGGAGGAAAGCCCAAAGTGATGCAGGTCTCAGGCGTTTACCACTTCGGTGAAACCCACAAGCATGGGTATGGTGCTGACAAACCTTGAAACAGAATCGGGGCGAACCGGGATTTGAACCCACAATCATAGGTTTCTCGCGTGCCCAAGGGACGCAACTCTGCACAGCGAATCGCGGCGCCTTAGACGACTGGGCCACCCGTGCCCCCATGTCATATAGAGAGTGAGTGAGTGAGTGAGTTTGGTTTTATGCTGCTTTTAACAGTATTCCAGTTATATCACGGCATGTCAGCTTGATGTGGGAGGAAAACTCAAAGTGATGCAGGTCTCAGACATTTACCATTTTGCTACAACTCACTGACACAGATATGGTGCTGACTAACCTAGAAACAGGGTGAACAAGGATTTGAACCCACAATGATAGATTTCTGGTGTGCCCAAGAGACGCAACTCTGCACAGCGAATTGTGGCGCCTTAGACAACTTGGTCACCCGTGCCTCCATATATGCAGGAAAATGACCACTTGCACAAAATGTTCATAGCTCTACGACTCTTAACAAAGACTTGCAACAGTCATGTCATTAAGATTGCTTTGTACAAGTGGGCCTGGTACATTTAAGTACAGTATAAGGATGGTCACACTAGATTGAAATATTCTCTTCACATGGCTCAGGATGTGGTCTGGTGTTCGAACTAATCTTAAATCCCAACAAGACAGTCGGGCAGATGACCCATAAATGTTGCATGCCAATCTTCAAGGTTACCAGCCCAGCAGTCAGACAATATTGAATCTTAATGTTTCCTAGCGCATAGTGTTTTTGAGACCCTTATAAGTATTTCTGATTAAGTGTCTTAATATCAATACCAAGACACTAAAATTAAGACCCGATTGACCAATGAAAGCGTAGTTACTTCCTTTCATCCACCGTTAATAATGGATGGCTCACGATAGTATCAGGAACATTGCGAAAAACAAGAGTCAAATCTTGATTCAGTTGAAATAATGCAAACAAATACTTGAGGATCTATGAGGAATACTGAATACGTAGTAGTCTCAAAATTATCTGCTAGACAGTTGGGAAGGTGGAGGAAAATTTCATGCAGCCCGACAGAAAAGTCACCAGCCATGGGCAGGCAGTGACTTCGGACACTGGTTATGAAGGGTCTATGTTCCACCATCTCGTTCCCTTGTCCAGTCAATGTCATGATATGGACTCTGACTCTGTGTGATGTGGACAGTTTTGGGTGGAGTCCTATATGGGATTCAAACAAGGCTCCACCAAAGAGAACTAGAATTTATACTTCACTAAGAAAGTGTAATCCCCAGAATAACACATGTTACATTTGACCACTTTCTAAAAAGGCAATGTCTATTCAAACATTAAGTGATAACAAAACTGGAGATTGAAGACCAACAATGTGATGTTAAAGGGACTTTCCTTCTGTCACTGTTCACGACATACCTTCATTATTTCAGTTTCAGTGATCCCCCAGAATGCTTTGCAAAAGCTGACGTCTGCTGTTCGTGTTGTGTAAACAACCTGCAAGTAAACATATTTTCAAGGAATCTTTATATTTATACATTTATTAGCATGAACAACAACCTCCTTGATACAAACTTAATGTGTAGGATAAAGTATGTACGAGGGTCTTTATGATATAAAAAACCTGCATCCCGGGAAATAACCAAGGGGCACTATGACGCAGGTTATACAGTGGAGACCCCTGGTTACCGCATGTCCTGTCTAGTTGAGCTACCTGTTGATACGGAGTACCCATGGTTACCGCATGTCCTGTCTAGTTGAGCTACCTGTTGATACGGAGTACCCATGGTTACCGCATGTCCTGTCTAGTTGAGCTACCTGTTGATACAGAGTACCCATGGTTACCGCATGCCCTGTCTAGTTGAGCTACCTGTTGATACAGAGTACCCATGGTTACCGCATGCCCTGTCTAGTTGAGCTACCTGTTGATACAGAGTACCCATGGTTACCGCATGCCCTGTCTAGTTGAGCTACCTGTTGATACAGAGTACCCATGGTTACCGCATGCCCTGTCTAGTTGAGCTACCTGTTGATACGGAGTACCCATGGTTACCGCATGCCCTGTCTAGTTGAGCTACCTGTTGATACAGAGTACCCATGGTTACCCCATGCCCTGTCTAGTTGAGCTACCTGTTGATACAGAGTACCCATGGTTACCTCATGCCCTGTCTAGATGAGCTACCTGTTGATACGGAGTACCCATGGTTACCTCATGCCCTGTCTAGTTGAGCTACCTGTTGATACGGAGTACCCATGGTTACCTCATGCCCTGTCTAGATGAGCTACCTGTTGATATGGAGTACCCATGGTTACCCCATGCCCTGTCTAGATGAGCTACCTGTTGATACGGAGTACCCATGGTTACCTCATGCCCTGTCTAGATGAGCTACCTGTTGATATGGAGTACCCATGGTTACCCCATGCCCTGTCTAGTTGAGCTACCTGTTGATACGGAGTACCCATGGTTACCTCATGCCCTGTCTAGATGAGCTACCTGTTGACATGGAGTACCCACGGTTACCTCATGCCCTGTCTGGATGACCTACCTGGTACCCACTGTTACCTCATGCCCTGTTTGGATGACCTACCTGGTACCCATGGTTACCTCATGCCCTGTCTGGATGACCTACATGGTACCCATGGTTACCTCATGCCCTGTCTGGATGACCTACCTGTTGATACGGAGTACCCATGGTTACCGCATGTCCTGTCTAGTTGAGCTACCTGTTGATACAGAGTACCCATGGTTAACCCCATGCCCTGTCTAGTTGAGCTACCTGTTGACATGGAGTACCCATGGTTACCTCATGCCCTGTCTGGATGACCTACCTGGTACCCACTGTTACCTCATGCCCTGTTTGGATGACCTACCTGGTACCCATGGTTACCTCATGCCCTGTCTGGATGACCTACCTGGTACCCATGGTTACCTCATGCCCTGTCTGGATGACCTACCTGTTGATACGGAGTACCCATGGTTTACCCCATGCCCTGTCTAGTTGAGCTACCTGTTGATACGGAGTACCCATGGTTACCTCATGCCCTGTATGGATGACCTACCTGGTACCCACGGTTACCTAATGCCCTGTCTGGATGACCTACCTGGTACCCATGGTTACCGCATGCCCTGTCTAGTTGAGCTACCTGGTACCCACGGTTACCTCATACCCTGTCTGGATGACCTACCTGGTACCCATGGTTACCTCATGCCCTGTCTGGATGACCTACCTGGTACCCATGGTTACCTCATGCCCTGTCTGGATGACCTACCTGGTACCCAGGGTTACCGCATGCCCTGTCTGGATGACCTACCTGTTGAGCGCGGAGTTCCGGGTTCATCCAGTACTTCCCACTGCTGACGAGGGAGGTGGCCAGCTGCATCACCTGTGAGTTTTCTTGATAACCCTCCGAGAAAGATGCCATCGCTATAGCAACAGCATGAAGAGGACGCTGCATTGAGTCGCAGAACTGTAAAAATGATCAGAAATTCATCAGTGAAAAGAGAAATCAACAGCATTTGAGCACATAGCAGCAGACAGCATCATTAACTTGGAGCTGGAAGCCTAATGATATTGTTACCTTAACACATGATTATATCACCCATGATTTACAAGTGTTACCACTAGGGCTGGGACGGGTAACTCGGGGACACGGGTCGTGTGGGTAATGAGTAGGACCCGGGTACCCACAGGGCTACCCGGACCCGTGGTTAGTCAAATGATATATTGTTTAAAGACAAAAAAAAATCCAGAACTGGATGTTAAAACTACAAGCCACTAATGTTCGCAGTTCTTTCTGACTAATAAGTCCATTCTTTCTGATTTTTATATGTTTGAATAAAAATAAAACTTCAGTCAACTTCAGTGTATACACCAGATCGTTTTATACGTGAATGGCTTCTGATCCCTGCAGTCTAAGGGTTAAGTTTAAACAAGCAGCTTCAACATAGATGGAGGACACTCTTTGAATGGTTTGTGGCCTAAATGAGGCATGTCTGAAGATTCTTTTGCAAGATCAAAGTTAAAATGGCTAAATGACGCAAAATGCTGTGCTTGGTGTAGTACTGTCATTAGTTTGGAGGCCAACTTCTGTTTCTTTGTTATTTAAATTAATTTAATGTTTATGAGTCTGGACCAGACAATCCAGTGACATCATGAGCATCGATAAGCAGACAGGATATGATGACATGCATCACTGATCAGCCAAATATGCTAGTCTAACAACCTGTTTCTGTCATCATGGTTTGTTGCCTATTACAACAAGTATGGGTTGCTGAAGACCAACCAAACTACTGTACTGCTTGTAGCATGTACACAGGTGTGTCAGTACACCTGGAAGGTGGCAGCCTGACACTGCTGTCCACAGTTCATCACCTGTCAAGTCTGTGTCATGTACACTAAGTCAGTACAGTCTGTAGCCACTAGTCCACAGCCCACCAGGGACAGAACTGTTTTGTTTTCCAGTGTCCCACAGAGGACTCATAAAACTATTGGCATGCGCCATTTGGAACCTAATTGCGCCAAAAAGAAAGAATACATTTTTACGTTGGACCCATCTTCATAATCAGTGAATCTCATTTCACCATGGGCCAGACTACATACAATTTAGAAAGTTTGCCCCTTTCCCTTCCACTGTGTCTACATGCTCATCTTCCATTACAGTTGTAGTGATAGAAATTGGCACCAGTCCTGCAGTCCTTGCCAAACTGCTCAATAGTTAAGGTATCATAAGGACTAGTTGGTTGGTTTATTGTTTAACGCCGCTCTCGGCAATATTCCAGCTATATGACGGCGGTCTGCAAATGATCAAGTCTTGACCAGACAATCCAGTGATTGACATCATGAGCATCGATCCACACATATGGGATTGATGAGATGTGTCAACCAAGTCAGTGAGCATGACCACCCGATCCCGTTAGTCGCCTCTTACGACAAGCAAAGTCGCCTTTTATGGCAAGAATGGGTTGCTGAAGACCTATTATTCTACCCTGGATCTTCACGGGTTCTTAGTGCTGAGCGCCAGGAAGAGTAACAACAAATCTAACAAGTCTCTTGTCTTTTGGCATGACGCGACAAGACCATGGAGGCGCTCTGTATTTAATAACAGTGACAGACACAAATATTTTTTTCAGTATGCCACTATTAAAGATGTTTAGACGTGCCCTTTGGAATTTAAGCGTGATGATATTTCATGTTTTAATATTTGTCCTATTTTCCTGCAGTCAATAATGTGTTTCACGGAATATCACCCACGGTCAATATTTAACACAGAACTAAAAGGAAGTCGACCTCAACAGTTCCAATGATAGCTTTTATCAAATGACTGGCTACAATCCATCAGCTGGGGTAAACATCTAGACATGATGCAAACCATTTCACTACGAGCTAGATAATAATTAGTTGTACTAAGGCTGACGTCTTCCTTTCCATTGAGATTGATAATGTCCTTTTCAGCTGCTAACGGTTGATGTAAAAAATCATCACAAATGATGCTGTGAATTATGTGTGTTTACATGATCACCATGAGTTTGTTCAATATACTGCAAAAGTTCTTCCATTCAGTGTTAGAAATTGGCACTATAGTGCCCAATAGTTAAGGCATCATAAGGACAAGTAGAAATTTGCCATTCTTAAAGGTTTTGCTATATGTTATAGTTATGAGGACAAGTGGACTAAAAATGTCAGTTTCTACTGCTGTTTCATCATACCATTTCAGAAAGTGACCTGTAGGCACTGGGAGCATTCTTTAACCATGCTGTTACTTTTTTAACTGTGCCATTGGTGCACTTATACAACAAACTTGGAATGGAACCCTGTAATAATGGTAAATGCAACTTCTAACTGTACAAACATTAACCCGGGATTTATCTCGACTTGGTCACGCTGGTGTTCCGCCCCAAGTCTGCTGCAAAATTCCCAAATGGGAATCGAAAAAAATTCCTTTTTCGTGTACATAAAGTTGAAGTGAGGGGCGGTCGGGTAGCCTAGTGGTTAAAGCGTTCGCTCGTCACGCCGAAGACCCAGGTTCGTGTGAAGCCCATTTCTGGTGTCCCCTGCCATGATATTGCTGGAATATTGCTAAAAGCGGCATAAAACCATACTCACTCACTCACTCACTCATTGAAAGGACCAAAATAGAGGAAGGGGCTTATTTCCACATTATTACTTGATTTGGAGTGCAATGTTAAAATTCAATGTAAAATATCTCATAAAATAAGAAAATAAGAACCTTAAAAATACAAATTTTGAACAAAGTTAAAAAAAGTTCCCCAATTTGCACATAGTTTGAAATCCTAGATAAATCCCCATTAACACAAAATCTACGGGAAGTGTGGGGAAGCAGACTGAGTATAATGTTCAATGTTATGGGGATACTAACCAATTCAGTTTTATAATATAATTCACAACTTAACCTGGAGTGATGTCCCTTTTTAACAAGATTACAAGTATAAATAACAAACACATCACGCATATGATAAACTAAAGTTCCTACTGGCTGATCACTAGATACAATATCTGTGTATTGATCACTGTTGATACCGCTAGCCTACATATGATAGCTGTATTACACTGACCATCATACACAGGTTCACCAAAATTGTATAGTGAGTGAGTGAGTGAGTAGGGTTTAACACTGCTTTTAACAGTATTCCAGTCATATCGCGGCGTGTCAGCTTAATGTGGGAGGAAAGCCCCAAGTGATGCAGGTCTCAGACGTTTACCAATTCGGTGAAACCCACGAGCACGGGTATGATGCTGACAAACCTAGGAACATAAATGGGTCGAAGCGGGATTCGAACCCACAATCATAGGTTTCTGGCGTGGCCAAGGGACGCAACTCTGCACAGTGAATTGCGGCGCCTTAGACAACTGGGCCACCTGTGTCCCCCTAGATTGTATAAACTAAATTATCCTGGTGCATGGTCCCTTAAATAGCATCTTCACAAGACACACAGGGAGTGAGTGTGTGTAGGCACTGCAGCGATGCTATCAATTCAACAGAATGTTATAATAGGGATAGCATCATTAAAGCATGATCATGATGATACAGATTTGGGTCCATGTACTGAATGCCAAGAAAATACATGTACCAAATATTGCTGCATTTGTTTTTGTGTCATTACATGATTACCACCATCCACATCTTCATCAAGAAGACTACTGTTTTCCTCAACAAGTATGTTGATAGACTTGCACAAGCCTCTAAGGCAATAATTATTATTTTACATCATAATTTCTAAATTATGTAAATAATAAGAACATGATGTCCCTATAAGAGACTGGAGTCCTTAGTGTCCACATATCTAGACTTGCCTATTAGGAGGATAGAATTACTTCACTAACATGGTCTATTCTTTCAGTAAAGCCTTTGAGCAAGGCTAGAATGTTGACGGCCTTGTCTGCTGTGTGCCAGGTGCGATGTTCTCAATAACATGTGGCTCTGTCAGGTATCATGATATTAAAGTCCTGATGAAAACTACTCCAGCAAAGTGACAAGTGACTCTCCTTCATGTGACTGACAAATGTATAATTTTACAACGGAAAAACCTCTCTGTTACTTTCACTATCATGAACGGACACCTGGCGTTATAATATAAGGGATGAAATGATACATCAGTGCACATGTGCATCATGAATCTCCATGCAATGAATAATATAAACATATTAATTTCCATAAAGTGGAGGGTTGGCAAACAAGCAAATTTTGCTTATCTGAATGCCTTTCCCAAACATGATACAAATTACAATGTATTGAAAGTGACATGAGTGAGTGACTTGGGTTTAACGCCGCTTTTAACAGTATTACAGTCATATCACGGTGTGTCAGCTTAATGTGGGAGGAAAGCCCCAAGTGATGCAGGTCTCAGACGTTTACCACTTCGGTGAAAACCCACGAGCACGGGTATGGTGCTGACAAACCTAGGAACATAAATGGGTCGAAGCGGGATTCGAACCCACAATCATAGGTTTCTGGCGTGGCCAAGGGACGCAACTCTGCACAGAGAATCACGGCGCCTTAGACGACTGGGCCACATGTGCCCCGAAAGTGAAATGAGAAATAGCATACATTATGTAATTGACATTAAAGACAAGTATTGTTCTGTAAGTGTTTAATAACTGGATCATCTTTCGTAACAATAGCTATTATTTACACCCAGCAAAACAACATTGTAGTACCATATAGCAAAGCCAACATCTCAGACAAAATCTCTAAATCGTCAAGCAGATAGAATAAAACTGTGCACTGATTCCAAAATTTCAAGATTTGTTACAATCGTTTAATGTGAAAAACCAATTAGAATTGAATTTAAATCGTAGCCTTTTACAAAATAATACATATTTTGCCTTAATGTACTGTTTAAGGGACATGTAAGAAATAAATAAAGTGCATGATAGCCACAACTTCTCGGGCTGTCGGATATAAATCTGGCAAACTTGTCGGCATTAAGATCACTGCAGCCAAGCCTGAGACGGGAGTGTATAACCTGACAGAATCTTCATCCATAATTTGTATCAAAGTATATCATGTATATACCATTCCTATCATTGCTTTTTATAAAACTTTTAAAACTTCCTAAGCTATTGGCATGGGTGTATTCAATAGGTAGTGATCGAGTTCCAAATATTAGCTATATCTGGAATAAATGATTTGGCATCTTTACACTTTATGTTTTGCCGCTGTGAGCTCTTTCCCAAATCATAATCACTTGTTGTGCAAATGATTGTTAACCATTTTATAAAAGACATTTAACTTTTGAAAATTCCTTCTTCTTTTTTAATGATGTAAGATTTGTTTTTTTTATAAAGTTCAATGAATATGATACATGATACGTTTTTTCTGTATTGATACAAGATGATACAATTGCCAAAATAAATTACCTTCTTCTTTTTTATCAATTTTTAATGTTCTCCACTAATTTTGTCAGTCAAATATCACAAAATGTGTTGTAATTTGCATTTTAAGTTCACTAATAAAAATATCCGCCATTAGCATGTGTTTACACGTAGCTTTCCATTTTGAACTTGCTCTGAAACATTTGTAGACAAGATGTTTCCATGTGATTTGAGGTAAATATGCCTATCGCGACCTAGTTTGATCTGTACGTTATTCACGCAAACTTCAGTCACAGTTTTCTCTTCTTTTTTTTTTACTTATATGAATATCACCGATGTTTTGTTCAACAACAAAGATTTATAAGATGCTATATTTGCCAGTCCACAGGGACTGGCAGTCACATGAATTACCGGTCCAAGCCTAATTTTACCGGTAAAAAACTGGTAATTACCGGTACAGGAACGCTGACGCCTATCAAACAATGTTGTGATCCATTTACAGTATTACGGGCATCTGAATATAGTGACAGGGCAGATAATGCCAACAGGTCAATAGGTAAACTGTATCCTATTGGACGCTGGGACCAAGTCATCAGCCCAAGCCACATTCAACTGGTCAATATCTTGAGTGTACTGATAACACTGTTTATCATGTTTATGATTATGATGACATCCATACTGAAAGTGATTCAAGATAAGAATATCGAGCAGTTCCTAGTGGTCCTTATCCCCCCCAAGTCAGATAGCAAAGAGAAGCTGGTCAATATGGACATGATGGAGACTAGGGCTGCAACGAATACACAATGATTCGTATCATGAATATCGGGTAGCGAATTCAAATATTAATTCACAAATACAATAACAAGTCAGCAGTTGATGTATTATTTGTCATATTCAGTGAGGCAACAATAACATGAATTATTTGACATGGTTTGTTAATTATTGATATATTATTAATATATTATTTATTTATATACTGCACTTATCCAGGAACTAGTATCTGCTGAAATACGACAATGACCAGTAACCACAATACTGTCAAATTAAATAGTATAAGAGTGTTGTCTTTTGAAGAAATCTATGCATAAAATATGTTCTTATGGGTATTTTTTTATCATATGTTTGCATATTCATAAATATTCTATTCTAGTGGCCACAAATAACGAATTCAATTCATGAATGGATACGGTTTCGATTCACCGAATACCAGGGTATGAAACTCCCAAAAATTTCAGCCAGACCACAGGACTGGCTAGCTGAAATACTTGCCAGCCCTGACCAAAACCTGCCTGCCCACTATAATCATATGTTTCTCAGGATAAGCTAACGGGGTTTCTTTTTGGTTACATTTTATCATTCATTTTTACATGTGAATTAATGATTATCATCGGGAAATATTTAGAATATTGTCACATATGAAATATAACCCGACCGTCGGGCAGGGGGATTTGAAAATCTGGAAATCAACCCGTCTCGGACGGTCGGGCAGGCAGGTATTTCGAACACTGCGAATACGCGAGTGAATCGTAACAGCCCTAATGGAGACATGGCTTATTGTCACTCACTATGCTTAAGGGCAGACCAGTTGACAAGATATCAATCACCAGTTTGTCTGGCCCACATGTAACATCATTAATAATCAACAGTTACAAATCATCAAAATAATCATGATAATGTTCAGGGTTCTATGTAGCCTGGGATTTTGTTTATTTGTTGTTTAATTTTGAAATCAGCAAAATGATAACCATATGATGGGATCCTGTTAGTAAAGAAATCTGTACCAGACAGTCATTTGACCATGGTGACAGATCGGACAATGTGAGCAACGATTCACGCCTCTAGGGTACATGGACATGCAATCAAGCAAGTCACCTAGTCTAACCACTGGATCCATTCAGTCACTTTTACAATCAGCATGGGTCGGTACAATGGGTAGGGTCATATTCTAACCCAGACTTCCCACGGGGCTCTAGTCTGTGGAAAACTGGGAGTCCTCATGACTCAATGCACATCTGAGCACAAGAGAGAGTCATGCATCAGTTTAACTTGTAGTATGTCCAGTCCATAAGATTTTGGTAATAAAAAATAGTAACAGCACTAGCATTCTGTTAATTGAAATTTGTTATGATGAAAAATGAAATTTCTGTTAGAGTACCTTGGATGTTTTTGGGGAACTAATACTAAAATAGGATTAGGAAGATTTTGGATGAAAATGGTGTCAAATATCTGCATCATGTGCAACCCTCATAGTATATATGATCATTATTATTAACATTGCAGGTAATATTGCGGATTGGTAAACAAACGGTAAGGCGTCAGTTAGACACTGCGCTTAGTTCAGAGTAGTTGTACATAATTTATACAGCTGTCATGTCATTTGTGATTTCACCAGTGATTTTGCTAGAGACAAATGACATTAGGACAATTTAATGATTTTATCAACTATTCATAGAATATTCTTCCATATCATTAACAAATTTGAAGAGATATACTGATAAGTCAATGAAAGTGATTTGAAACTCTGTAACACGACAGGGATAGACATGGTCACTAGTCTGTTAGAGGTCTTTCTGAAATCAATGAGTTTGTTATGAAAAGGTACTACCCTTTTCGATGTAATAAGCGCCCAGGGGGCTCTCAAAATTAGAAATAAGGGGCTCTTATTAAAATATTTTTTTGGTGAAAAAAAACAGAGTTGAAAGATCAATTTTGTGGTTTATGCTGACAGCCTAAACTGTTTATATACGACAGATTTATTTTTGCAGAATTTAATTGCCCCTAATTAAAGGTGCATATAACACACGAGTGCGTATTATACGCAAATAAATAAGTCTTGTGTACATTGATCAATCGGAAGGAGTGCTAAATTGGGACTAGCCAATATATATGCAAATATCGCCGAGGGCGTTTATTAGAGCAGGGCGCTTATTACATGGAATACGGTATTTGTATCAAGATATCATTTCAGGTAAAAAATGTACAATCACACTTTTGAACTTAATACATCAATACTACCATGCTTACCTCTCGGACTAATTTAGAAATTTCATGCTGAAACACATTTCTTATTTAATAATTTACATATGTTGGGGACTCCTAAAATAATCGACACATGTGTTTCTCTTAATCATGTTAATCAATCGTCCAAAGGGCAAGTTGGAGCAGCTGATAACAATAACACCAACTGCAGAAGATTTGCCCAGCAGGGTACTGACCTAGTTATGTAACAATGACCTCAGGTCATTCTGTGGGGGATCTAATCACACCACCCTCACCCCATGTTCCTCAGCCAATGACATTAACACTCCTGTGTGGCCACACATCACAGCTTACAACGTTTAATGAAAAAGTTTACACATTGTTTTAAAAACCAATAATACATGTTTGCATGATGACTTCATGTGGACCTAATACTTTAATTATTATGTATATATAAACATGGACAAATTCTTACAAGTCTTTCACACCCCAAAATTAAACGTATAGATTGTTTTATGTGCTTTGTAGTAACTGTTTACATATGTGTTACACATAGAGTTTTTTTTATCAAGTTCATCCTTATCAATTGCATGCTTATTACAATGCTTACTTTCAACTAGAACGGGCACATCATCATATGGCACATAAACATGATAGACCCCTGAAAATCCAGGGTAGAATAGGTCTTCAGCAACCCATGCTTGCCATAAAAGGCAACTATGCTTGTCGTAAGGGGCGACTAACGGGATCGGGTGGTCAAGTTCGCTGACTTGGTTGATGCATGTCATCGGCCCTAATTGCGTGGATCGATGCTCATGATGTCAATCACTGGATTGTCTGATCCAGACTCGATTATTTACAGACCGCCGTAATACAGCTGGAATATTGCTGAGTGTGTTGTTAAACAACAAACAAACAAGCAACATCAACATGATAAATAATATTAACATTCAAAACATTGGATAATGCATGATCAGGTTGATACAATGTAAAGATGCAAATTTGTGATTTACTTTTAGCATATTTTGTTGACAACAAATCTGTACATGGTAAACATGGTAAAGAAAACATATTAACAAGTCAGGGAGGCAATACATTCTCATTTCATCTTGTTCATTAGATATCTTATTTACATGGTATCAACATGATCACACATTGTTTTGAATGTCATAATGGAATTTCCAAGAACAGTTGAAACTGAAAGTAAATTATTATTTCAATGAGACTAGGAGGACATTCTTGTATAGATTCACAGGACAAAATGAAGCATGTACTTACCTGGAATCCAAGACAACGGCCATAAAAACAATCTTGGTTCAACATCTCAACTTCCTCCATCAACTGCTCTGCAATATTTTCATTTAGATTTTCCTCATCTGCAAACAGGTTTCCATCTTGACAGTAGTTGATGAGCTTGTTGGCATAATAGAGACATGCTCTCAGCTGACCGATGGTGCTGACATATGCCTCAACTTCTTTACAGTAGTGAGCTCTTCTGAACAAAATAGAATCTCTATTCACCACAATATACCTCAGCAACTGGGCTAAATGCAAACAACATTTATACACAATCCTTAACAAACTCCGGTACCCGTTTCCTTTTAAGTCTGGTGAAACGTCAAAATCAGACAATCTTGGAAGCAAGCCAGCAATGTTAGGTTCGATACCCATGTCTAAATATTCGTAAAGGAGACAAAAGGATGTGTGATATTTAGCGTGGTGGCTTTGGTTCCCATTTTGAAAGTATTCAATATTGCTCAAAGCCAGTGATTTCAGTTCCTTGATCAGAGAAGACAGCAGGCGCCCCGGATTGTCGTTTTCTAGAGACATATTAATCTTATTGCTTCGTCTTCTTCTATGCACCGACTCAGTTATTCCCTGTCAGTGTTGATCTGTTGTTAAATGCACGCGACTGCCACACCACTACTTCAATTCTCCGTGACAAACTTGACAGCTGATAAACACTGTTTACTTCTGTCAGCAGCCATTTTTAAATTACGGAGCGAATAATGTCCCCTTCGGGGCAATCGGAAAAGCTCGTTGGTATCCGTCAATCGATTTGAGATACACATTGTGCCCGAGATACACAAGATCCGTGAAAGAATCCTACATGTATTGCGCAGTAATAATTAATATAAATAATGATCAAATTAAATTAAAACTATAGTGATAGAACTCCAAATCCAATAATACATGTATAACTGTGATAATTTTATCTCCTCTTGAGTGGATAAATTTGACCAATCACCTCTTGGTTTCCCATTCACTGCCCAAATGCGAGACGAAAACAAGGATTATCTCGACACAGCTGAGAAGCTTGGAAACATTTCCTGAGAACACTTTGCGCACTTCCTCGGAGATAAATTGGTGCGCATGTACCTCTCGCTCGTTAATAACAATACATTGCATGACAAAGTCCAGCCTTTCATTTCATATAATGTCATTGACAGTATAGCCAATAACGTTTTGTTTATTTTGACATTTTGATCCGAGTGACTTGTTATTGGATGTAAATTCATGTCCCAATATGGCCGCTTAATCACTCAAGACGCCCAGCCTATCTAGTCATATAATTCAGTCTTTGAACGACAAATTAGTGTATTTGAGATTAGTAGTATCTCGTTTTTCTACGTTTCAGAGCATGAGATCATCGGAGCGTCATGACAGTTGCAATATTTTGAAAACTCATTAAGGAAACAATACGGAGATCATCTCCAATCAATTTACCCAATCTGCGTGAGAAGTGTCTTGCAACATCGTGCAAGATGGCAGATGCATCAGATCAAGAGGTTTCAAGCACAAACAATAACACCGAAGGAAATGGACTTTGCAGTGGCTCAGGCAACAAGAACGATTTTGTTGAATTTGATGACAAGTCCAACCTCCCAACATCAACCACGAGCGATGACTTGTCAGAATCTAGTATGACGTCCAGGGAAAACTTCACTTTAGGAAGTCTCAAGAAAGATGACAGTGGTATTGACATGGAGAAGTCTCCAACTACAAGTGCAAAAGAGATGTCAGATGCGGAGTGCAGTGAATCACTGAATGACAGTGCTGCTTGTTCACAAAGTGAATCGGTCAGTGATGTCAAATGGGAAGATGTAAAAGCTAAATCAGAAGAAACATCAGATGTAGGGATCGATTCATCCGAAAGCACAGGTATGCGTGATTGTAATGACACCGATGATAGTGAAAATGTTGCTACCTCTAATATGACTGAGTCTCCCGTTACTAGTCCACATCATGATGTCAGTGATACATCCACAAATATTGTTGCAGATGACTCCGAAACAAACACGGGATCCCCTGGCACACGTAAGCGAAGGCATGAGCGTAGCAATTCATCCTCAAGTGACTCTGAGGACAGTGACAATGAAAATGCTGACACCGGCAAGAAGAAAGAATCTGAATCTGAAAGTGAGGATGAGATGGACGTTGATGACGATGGCATCAGACCACGTCATAAATGGAGAGCTGTGTCAGACTTGCGTGATCGAGAGTATGGTTACACCAATAGATCACCTCCATCCTTATTTCGTGAGAAGATTCAGGGTAGTCTTCAAATGGTACAAAGACTAAAGTTACAGTATAGGATGGAATATCATGAGGGATGCGTCAACGCTTTACACTTCAACAGAATCGGTAAATCTTTTTTCAGCAGTGATGGCTCTGCCATGTCCTGAGAACCTCCTTTTTGTAACACAAATTGCAAATTACACCATAGGATTTTACCCTAACTTGCAAAACTAGGGGTCCAACTCAAGGGACCCCCAATAATTACTTTAATTACCTAAAATGAATTATGAGGCAGAGCTCCAGATAACTTCTTGAACAATTGAGTTTTTACTCGAAGGTTTCTATTTTTATTGGGTTATTACATTTTTCATTGGGTAACCAATATTTTTTCACTCTTCTATTCATCACTCTATTGGTTTTTTGTATATAAACGGTTCTAAGTATAGGCTTGACTCAGAAAGTAAATTAGCTCGTAATTGTGTTTCAGAAATTAGCTCCGTTGTACGCATGCTTAAAAGCTTCAGTGGGTATTTATGCGAGCTGTTTTTAAACATTTGAGTTTTTCATTTAATGCATGTGTTTATGTACGCAAGTTAATTGAAAGTAATTAGGTTTTGAATATTTTTTGGGGGCGGAGGGATTGGGTTTTACGCAAATACGCAGCTTATCTGTAGCTCTGATGAGGGTCTTGTAAAGTAATGAAATGCTGTGGTGTACTTTACTTTAAAATTTGGTAATTACTTTAATCACAGGACCTTTGTCTCTTTTCAAGAATTTGGTGCAAGTAATATTATTGTGGTTCCCTCAGGACGCAACACATTCTTTATATTTCGTCCATTCTATGCATTTTGGACCCATGAAACCCCTGGAGATAAAACTTCTGCCCTTGACCCCTGCACTGATATTTATAAGAATCATAACCCCTGGCTAGATACAATGCAAGAAGTATAAGAAAAATATTTATGTAAAAAATAGTTAACATGCAGAACAAGCAAAAGTTACAAATATTTAAGGATTAGGGTTATGTTTAAAATTGGAAGGAGTGGTTATGGGTGGAAATCTGTCCATGATTTTGTCTCTTGTAAAAGAAACATTAAGTGTCATTGTGGAAATTAGGGATTGAGTATTTGAAATCAAGCACTTGCTTATTAAAACTGATCATTCAACCATTCAGCCTACTGAAGATGTAAATCATGTGCAACCGCACTTACAACTTCATCTGTAGCCTTGAAGGTATCCGTGTGACCGAATACATCAGCTGGCCAAGGCCATGACTTGGTTGATAGCGTGTCATTGTATCCCAATGGTGTGGATTGGTGTTCATACCATCAATCACTGGATCATCTTCATTAGGGAGTTAACTGACTATAAAAAGGAAACTGGACGACATGAGGACTTTTATAGTCCGTTGACTCCCTTTCCATGGAAGATGTCACTGGATTGTCTGGTCCAGATTGGATTACTTGTGGGCCACCATCATATACATGATATTTGACATGTTTGAAACATATATGTTATGTGCATGTATCAAATTTACATTTGCAAATTCTGAAGTCAAAAGTTGGTTGGTTTGTTGTTTAACGCGGCACTCGGCAATATTCCAGCTGTATGACGGCGGTCTGTAAATAATCGAGTCTGGACCAGACAATTTTAATGATTGATATCATGAGCACAGATCCATGCAATTGGGATCGATGACATGCATCAACCAAGTCAGCGAGTCTGACCACCTGATCCTGTTAGTCACCTTATACAACAAGCATAGTCGCCTTTTACGGCAAGCATGGGTTGCTGAAGACCTATTCTACCCCGGATCTTAACGGGTACTAAAGTGAAAAGTCATTGGGTTTATCTTTAATGCAAATTCATTATCTCCCTACCTAACCTGTCCGTCCGAAAACTTTGTATAATCTGTGCCATATCGAGGGGTGCAGTCAAAAGAAAAAAAATCTTTTTATTAATTTTCCATTTTTTTATGAATTTTTCAAACCCTAACCCTATCCTAGCTATTTAATTTGAAACTACTGACACACTAGGCGGGTGGGGGGTATTAGTGAGCCACGCTCACTTTTGCACTTGTTTCTTTAATGTCACTGGGCACCGCTTGTCCTGCTGGACACAAGCCTCTGACAACGGTGATTCAACCACTAGTAGTAGGGACTGATTTAGAATGAAGATCAGCTTGTCACTCAACATGCCCATGATAATCTTGTGTTGGTGTCTGCTGATAGCTTTACTATTAATAATACTTTGCTCATGCTATCAACCACTGATCAGTCCTGCAAAATAGTTCCTGGTAACCATGGTAACTATAATATGGCCATGGAATTAAGTTGATTCTGGTGTTAAACAAAACATTTAGCCTGTAAGCCTGTCTGTCATACAGACCCTGAAACAATCTAATACAGCCCATGCAAGTGTATAATACATGTATTAGGCAAGTCTAGATGACTGCAGGATCATATCTGCAAATAAGGAAAGTCTCTAGGCTCCTTTTAGTTATACTTTATACCTATAACTTAACCACTGTTTGTTTCTATAAGATAGTTCATTTCAGAGGCTAGATGTTAGTCTCTACAAGCATGCCAAGTTAGTTACGTGGCATGAATTCACATTTTACTTACGTTGCAAAAGATGACTTTTTCTATAATTTCTAGGCAAGTATATACCCCTTTGACACCACTGGTTTCTGTCAATAATCTATAACATACACAAGAAAATGCAGACTGATGTAAATTTCAGGTTTATCATTGGGAGCGCAAAAAGGGCCCCAAATTCTGCTCTTGTTTTGTTATAATTTGAAAATAATTGCTTCCTTACACAGTTTTAGGAAATTTTGTTCGCTTCTTATGTCTGAACTGCTAAGACTACCATGAAAGTAAGGTAAAGAGCGAGGGGCTTCCCAGGATAAGTGAAGGCGAGAGGCCTGACCATGCTCACTGTGCTGTTGTTGTTTCTGACTGAAGGCACACTGCTGGCGAGTGGGTCTGATGATCTCAACATAGTGCTGTGGAACTGGCTCAGGAATCGGCCGGCCCTTGTGTATGACAGTGGCCACAGGAGCAACGTCTTTCAGGTAACCACTGGCACAGCTACTGGGCTGTGTAGCCTCATGGTTAATATACAAACACTGACACAGCTTACTGGGTGTGTAGCCTTGTGGTTAATATACAAACACTGGCACAGTTACTGGGGTGTTTAGCCTCCTGGTTAACATACAAACACTGACACAGCTTACTGGGGTGTGTAGCCTCCTGGTTAACATACAAACACTGACACAGCTTACTGGGGTGTGTAGCCTCCTGGTTAACATACAAACACTGGCACAGCTTACTGGGGTGTGTAGCCTCATGGTTAACATACCAACACTGACACAGCTTACTGAGTGTGTAGCCTCCTGGTTAACATACAAACACTGACACAGCTACTGGGCTGTGTAGCCTCCTGGTTAACATACACACACTGACACAGCTTACTGAGTGTGTAGCCTCCTGGTTAACATACAGACACTGACACAGCTTACTGGGGTGTGTAGCCTCATGGTTAATCTACAAACCCTGACACAGCTTACTGGGGTGTGTAGCCTCCTTGTTAACCTACACACACTGGCACAGCTTACTGGGGTGTGTAGCCTCATGGTTAACCTACAAACACTGACACAGCTACTGGGGTGTGTAGCCTCCTTGTTAACATACAAACACTGGTACAGCTACTGGGGTGTGTAGCCTCCAGGTTAACATACAAACACTGGCACAGCTACTGGGGTGTGTAGCCTCCTGGTTAACATACAAACACTGGCACAGCTTACTGGGGTGTGTAGCCTCATGGTTAACATACAAACACTGGCACAGCTTACTGGTGTGTGTAACCCCATGGTTAACATACAAACACTGACACAGCTTACTGGGGTGTGTAGCCTCATGGTTAACATACAAACAGTGACACAGCTACTGGGGTGTGTAGCCTCCTGGTTAACAAACACTGACACAGCTTACTGGGATGTGTAGCCTCATGATTAACTTACAAACAGTGACACAGCTACTGGGGTGTGTAGCCTCATGGTTAACCTACAAACACGGACACAGCTTACTGGGGTGTGTAGCCTCATGGTTAACAAACACTGACACAGCTTACTGGGGTGTGTAGCCTTATGGTTAACATACAAACAGTGACACAGCTTACTGGGGTGTGTAGCTTCATGGCTAACATACAAACACTGGCACAGCTTACTGGGGTGTGTAGCCTCATGGTTAACATACAAACACTGACACAGCTTACTGGGGTCTGTAGCCTCCTGGTTAACATACCAACACTTGCACAGCTTACTAGGGTGTGTAGCCTCATGGTTAACATACCAACACTTGCACAGCTTACTGGGGTCTGTAGCCTCCTGGTTAACATACCAACACTTGCACAGCTTACTAGGGTGTGTAGCCTCATGGTTAACATACCAACACTTGCACAGCTTACTAGGGTGTGTAGCCTCATGGTTAACATACAAACACTGACACAGCTTACTGGGGTGTGTAGCCTCATGGTTAACATACAAACACTGGCACAGCTTACTGGGGCGTGTAGCCTCATGGTTAACATACCAACACTGGCACAGCTTACTGGGGCGTGTAGCCTCATGGTTAACATACAAACACTGACACAGCTTACTGGGGCGTGTAGCCTCATGGTTAACATACCAACACTTGCACAGCTTACTTGGGGGTGTAGCCTCATGGTTAACATACAAACACTGGCACAGCTACTGGGGTGTGTAGCCTCCTGGTTAACATACAAACACTGACACAGCTTACTGGGGTGTGTAGCCTCATGGTTAACATACAAACACTTGCACAGCTTACTGGGGTGTGTAGCCTCCTGGTTAACATACAAACACTGACGCAGCTTACTGGGGTGTGTAGCCTCCTGGTTAACATACAAACACTGGCACAGCTACCGGGGTGTGTGTGTAGCCTCCTGGTTAACATACAAACACTGACGCAGCTTACTGGGGCGTGTAGCCTCATGGTTAACATACCAACACTTGCACAGCTTACTGGGGTGTGTAGCCTCATGGTTAACATACAAACACTGACGCAGCTTACTGGGGTGTGTAGCCTCCTGGTTAACATACAAACACTGGCACAGCTACCGGGGTGTGTAGCCTCCTGGTTAACATACAAACACTGGCACAGCTTACTGGGGCGTGTAGTCTCATGGCTAACATACCAACACTTGCACAGCTTACTGGGGTGTGTAGCCTCATGGTTAACATACCAACACTTGCACAGCTTACTGGGGTGTGTAGCCTCCTGGTTAACATACAAACACTGACGCAGCTTACTGGGGTGTGTAGCCTCATGGCTAACATACAAACACTGGCACAGCTTACTGGGGCGTGTAGCCTCATGGTTAACATACAAACACTGGCACAGCTTACTGGGGCGTGTAGCCTCATGGTTAACATACCAACACCGGCACAGCTTACTGAGTGTGTAGCCTCATGGCTAACATACAAACACTGGCACAGCTTACTGGGGCGTGTAGCCTCATGGTTAACATACAAACACCGGCACAGCTTACTGGGGCGTGTAGCCTCATGGTTAACATACCAACACCGGCACAGCTTACTGGGGTGTGTAGCCTCATGGTTAACATACCAACACTGGCGCAGCTTACTGGGGTGTGTAGCCTCATGGTTAACATACAAACACTGGCACAGCTTACTGGGGTGTGTAGCCTCATGGTTAACATACCAACACTGGCGCAGCTTACTGGGGTGTGTAGCCTCATGGTTAACATACAAACACTGGCACAGCTTACTGGGGTGTGTAGCCTCATGGTTAACATACAAACACTGGCACAGCTTACTGGGGTGTGTAGCCTCATGGTTAACATACAAACACTGACACAGCTTACTGGGGTGTGTAGCCTCATGGTTAACATACAAACACTGGCACAGCTTACTAGGGTGTGTAGCCTCATGGTTAACATACAAACACTGACACAGCTTACTGGGGTGTGTAGCCTCATGGTTAACATACAAACACTGGCACAGCTTACTGGGGTGTGTAGCCTCATGGTTAACATACAAACACAGACATATTTTTGGGACCATTGAGCATGTTGAGTGGATATTGAATATTTATAGCCTTTACCAGAAATCAGGACAACCAGATATATATTTGTTTTAAAGAAAGTTTTTTGTTTGTTGTTTAATGCCGCACTCAGCAATGTTCCAGCTATATGAGAGCGGGCTGTAAATAATCAAGCCTGGACATCATGAGCTTTGATCTAGGCAATTGGGATGCAATGAGATGCATCAACTAAGTCTACGAGTCTGATGTAACAAGGGCTTATCTATCCAGGAGTAAAAAAAACAAAATTGTCCTGATCCTCATCAATACGATCTGTATATGAAAAGAGTTTATGTTTCTATCATACATCTGGAACGTTGTTGAAGACACAGGATTACATTGACTGTTGCAGGCAAAGTTCATGCCGTATAGTGGTGACTGTCATGTTGTCAGCTGTGCACGGGATGGGCAAGTGAGGCTGGCGGAGTTATCTCTCACTGGTGTGTGCAAGGGCACCAAGAAGCTGGCCCAACACAAGGGGGCAGCACACAAGGTGAAGGACATTCACAGTGACCTTGACCTTGACCTTGACCTTATGATGATTCCAGAGCACAATATATTGCCAGTACATTACTCTTAAAGTACAGGAGAAAATAAGTGAAGGTTTTAGGTGCTGCTAGATATGTTTGCCTTTGTAATCATAGACCTGCCTGCGTCATATGATGTTAGTGCATTTGTATAGGAACATCACTGGTGACTTTAATGTATGGTATTTTGTAGATATTATTTAGAGAATGATCAACTAATTTTGAGGAATTACGGATTATTTGTCCCCAGTGAATGGATGGTGTTACTCCTGAGCCTTTGACTTGAGACCGCCTATGTGGTAGAGCGTCTGCCCAGAGAGCGGAAGGTCGGGGGTTCAATTCCCGGCAGCGTCATACCAAAAGACATTAAAAGATGGCATTTCTTGTTACCCTGTCTGGCGCTCGGCATTAAGGGGCTAAAACAAGGACTGGTCAGCTCAGAGTCAGTATACTGTGTCTGAGTGGGGTATTCATGTTAAACTGTGGCATGGTATATCAGTGAGCTAGCACTATAAATCGGCATCAGTCTACAAGCAGCCACACACACACACGTGTGCATGCACATCACTATATAAGTGCAATAATCTTGGGTGGGACGTTAAACCCAATTTCACCTCACCTCACCTTTGACTTGAAAGTTTTTGGCACAGAGTCTATTATTTTTTGCCTTGCCTAAGAATACCCTACAAACAGAAAGAAGCTAATGTTGGTGAAATGCAAAACTTATCAACAGTTTTTTGTTACTGTGTGTTTGTGTAGCTGGCCCTGGAGTTCGACTCGCCTCACCTGTTTCTCAGCTGTGGGGAGGATGCGATGACGTACGAGATGGATCTCCGACAGGACAAGCCTAACAAGTAGGTTGGGGCTCCGACTTTCCATCACACCTTCATTCCAGCTTTGTAGATAACCAGTACAAGGCCTGGCACCCGATGTAATGGTCCAGTGCCGTATGTAATTTGTGACCCACCAGAAGAGGGACCTTATGGGTGCTAGAGTACAATTGTGCTGTGACGTCATAAAGACGCCAGCAGACTGTTTAAAAAAATTGTATTTTTCTCTTGGTACTTCATAATGTCATAAAAATGGGACTGCAGAAAATGAGTCCAAATGTTTGATGCCATGGGTCTGTGTATTATATGGAAGCTCATCAATTGTATTTTTTTGGTCCCAAGATACTGAAATTTCAAAATATAACAGGAAGTCAAAATGTGATTTTTCACCCACAAGGTCCCTTGTCTCATGGCTGGTCGGGGGGCACGGGTGGCCCACACGTCGCTTGGGCACGCCAGAAATCTATCATTGTGGGTTCGAATCCCGGTTCACCCCGATTATGTTTCTAGGTTTGTCAGCACCATACCCGTGCTCTTGGGTTTCACCGAAGTGGTCAACGTCTGAGACCTGCATCACTTCGGGCTTTCCTCCCATATTAAGCTGACACGCCGCGATATAACTGGAATACTGTTTAAAGCGGCGTTAAACCCAACTTCCTCACTCACTCACTCATGGTCGGTCACATTTGGTGTTTGTATATGATGCTATGTGCCTGTGATGATAATGTTGAGTGCTGCCTTACGCAACAAACAAAGACAGACAAATCTGATTAACCTTCTGTTTCACAATTAGTTATCATGAAACTAGTATAGCACAATATGGCTGTTTTTATGGTGTATCTAAACTGACTGTAAGTGCATTTTCTGTCTTAATCCTCATTAACCCATGGAGATTCCTGGTTAGAATTGGTCCTAGCAACATGACTTGAATTGGGTGATCAGACATTGTGACTTGATCGTGAGTGTGTCAACATACCCTGATGACATGGACCTTTGCTTGTAATTGCTGCTTTGTCTGGTCCAGATGTGTTTATTTACAGCCGCCATCATGGTGGTGGAATGTTGCTGAGTGTGGCTTTAAATGACAAATAAAACAAAGATATTTTTAAGTCCGCTGCATAAATGAGGTGTTCTTGTTTCACAGACTGATAACAACCAAAGAAAATGACCGGAAGGTAGCTCTGTACTCCATCCACTCCAACCCACGCAACTCTTTCGAGTTCTGTGTGGGAGGTCGGGATCACTACATCAGGTCAGTCTCTCATATAGTTATCTGTATTCTTTCTTACAAATTTTGGGGCGGTCGGGTAGCCTAGTGGTTAAAGCATCCGCTCGTCACGCCGAAGACCCGGGTTCGATTCCCGACATGGGTACAATGTGTGAAGCCCATTTCTGGTGTCCCCCGCCGTGATATTGCTGGAATATTGCTAAAAGTGGCGTAAAACCATACTCACTCACTCACTCACTCACTCACTCACTCACTCACTCACTCACTCACTCACTCACTCACACACACACACACACACACACACACACACACACACACACACACACACACACACACACACACACACACACACACACACACACACACACACACACACACACACACACACACACACACACACACACACACACACACACACACACACACACACACACACACACACACACACACACACACACACACACACACACACACACACACACACACAGACACACACACACACACACAGACACACACACACACACACACACACACACACACACACACACACACACACACACACACACACACACACACACACACACACACACACACACACACACTCTTTAATCCTGGGGATACAAATTACCCTGAAACATTCATTAGCCTGAATATACTCCTTCAAAAATCTCAGAACATAGGCGAAATGTAAAATACCTCTTGTCTGTATATTAGTCCTGTAGTCCTGATAACCCTTCAAAGTGGCAAATTTCTCCTTGTCCTTGTGATACCTTGGCAGTTTGACAAGGACTAAGGGACTAGAACCTATTTCTGTCACTGTCAGCCTTTGCTCTTCCACCACAGTCTGTCCTGTTTACAGCCGGTGCCTGCCATTAGACATCAGGGCCCACTTGCACAAAGCGATCTTAGCGCTACAACTATTGTAAGCCTATGTTAAAGTATGGGAGTTACGATCACCTTAGCGCTAAGATCGCTTTGTGCAAGTGGGCCCTGGAGCCACTCGACTATCGTAAGCCTATGTTAAAGTATGTGAGTTACGATCATCTTAGCGCTAAGATCGCTTTGTGCAAGTTGGCCCAGGTCAGTTTAGACCAGATTGTCGATTTTTCAAGAGAAAACAATGAGCTTGTGATGCAAGCTTAGTTCCTCTGATACTGGCTAGCCACCAGATTTGTTTGTTCCGAGTTGTATCATCCTACATGTACCTTGTGTCAAGCTCAGCCGTGGGGGAGGAAATCGGGAATGTCCGTTAACCAAACGTTACTGACCTGACAGTTTTATTTAAAAACATGATTTTTCTTGAGAGGGACATTTTCTGTTAATAGTGATGAAAGAATGAAATTCTGCTGGTCCACTGGATACCTTGACATGTGACAAGGAGACAGCACACTAGTGCCAAGTTGCTTCAGTGTGAAAGTTGTTACTTAAAAACCTGTGAAGATCTGTGGTAGAATAGGTCTTCAGCAACCCATGCTTGCAGTAAAAGGTGACTATGCTTGTCGTAGGAGGCGACTAACAGAATCGGGTGGTCAGGCTCACTGACTTGGTTGATGCATGTCATTGATCCCAATTGTGTGGATCGATGCTCATGTTGTCAATCACTTGAGTGTCTGGTCCAGCATTGCCGTCATATAGCTGGAATATTGCTGAGTGCGATGTTCAGCACAAACAAACAAACAAACTTAAAACAAGAGAGTGTCTGATCTCTTTATGTCCTATATGTTTTCATGTACAGGTTGCTATGAGTTACGTGTGATACTTACAGGTGTGAGGGATTTTCAGCTCATCCTCCCCACTAGTGACACATATAACATGTATACCATGTGACCCGTGAAGATTCCGGGGTAGACTAGGTCTTCAGCAACCCATGCTTGCCGTAAAAGGCGACTATGCAGCGTTAGAAATGGCACTAGTCCTGTAGTCCTTACCAAAACTGCCCAATGATAAAGGTATCCTAAGGACTAGTAGAAATTGGCCAATTTTAAGGGTTTTGCTATATGTTATCATTATAAGGACTAGTGGACAAAAACTGTTAGTTTCTAACCCTGCTATGCTTGTCGTAAAAGGCGACTAACGGGATCGGGTGGTCAGGCTCGCTGACTTGGTTGATGCATGTCATCGATCCCAATTGTGCGGATTGATGCTCATGAGATTAATCACTAAAATTGTCTGGTCCAGACTCGATTATTTACAGACTGCCGTCATATAGCTGGAATATTGCTGAGCGCGGCGTAAAACAACAAACCAACCAACCAACCAACCAAGACATGTTTTCTGTGCAATATGTTCGTGTGACAATATGAGGTCTGCTTTGCAACTGCCAGTGTGGCAACTCATCCTATGAGCAGCATCAATCAGTTAACATCATATCAAACACTGTGACGCCATTTTGTCCCTACAGTCTGACTGACTGACTGATAAGGGTAAGTAATCAATGTGTTTTGCAAGTCACTTAATCTATAAGCTAATAATCATCTCCAGTTTTTTTAAGGCCATGGATGTATTTTTCCATGTATTTACATTTTCTAGGTAATTTATGTTGCATTTCTCCGGATTTGATTTGATTGTACATTTTGTTGCAGGAGGCGTGTAATGTTTTGAAAGCTTGTACTAATGTTATGTATGGGCTTCCTTTCCAGAGTCTATGACAAGAGAAGGATTGCAGAGGTGAGGGTTGTGTAGAGTCCTTGTACAATAACACTGTCAGGAAGAGGGGGCATGGGTGGCCCAGTCGTCCAAGGCGCCACGATTTGCTGTGCAGAGTTGCGTCCCTTGGGCACTCCAGAAACCTATGATTGGGGCTTGAATCCCGGTTCTCTAATTATGTTTCTAGTTTTGTCAGCACCATACCCATGCTCGTGGGTTTCACCGAAGTGGTCAACGTATAAGACCTGCATCACTTCGGGCTTTCCTCCCACTTTAAGCTGACATGCCGTGATATAACTGGAATACTGTTAAAAGCAGTGTTAAACTAAACTCACTCACTCACTGTCAGGAAGTAACTGACATATTATATACTTGAAGTTTAGTGTCAATTTTACGGCTCATTTAAAACATCTGGTTCTTTGGAGTAGTTGATTTCCATGTCCTACAGTATTTCCTACTCTGGCCTGGTCAGACATGTATATGTGGGTTTCTGATAGCAGAATACTATTGTTGCTAAACATCGACCGGGCTCGGTATCAGGAACTTGATTAAACTTGCACCAGGTGCATGTTGACATGAAAATCTAGCTGCACCAAACAAAATCAGGTTGCACTAGGTTGATACGTCGGCCTGTCTGCTGCCATTGTCACATAAGATAATAGGAACATGTGAACATTATACCCACTGTTTGAAATTACACATTACACAGGGATTAGTGATGTAGTATGGGACCTGTGAAGATTCCGGGGTAGAATAGGTCTTCAGCAAACCATGCTTGCCGTAAAAGGTGACTATGCTTGTCGTAAAAGGCGACTAACGGGATCGGGTGGTCAGGCCCGCTGACTTGGTTGATGCATGTCATCGATCCCAGTTGCGTGGATCGATGCTCATGATATTTACAGACCACCGTTATATAGCTGGAATATTGCTGAGTGCGGAGTTAAACAACAAACCAACAAGATGTAGTATGGTATGGGTTAACTGTAGAGGTACTGAGTGTGCTTAAAGGTCTATTTGGTGTGGACCAAACGTGCACGTGCATGCACATCGCTATATAAGTGCAAAAATCTTGAACGCCATGTAAAACCCCATTTCATCACCTCACTTGTATCTGCCCAGTAGGGTTCTGTCTGTCAGCAATGTAGACTAATCACTCTCTTTGTTTGCAGGATGTCAATGGCGGAGTGCTGAAGAAATTTTGCCCTCATCATCTGGTATGTTTTTTATTTATCTCCACGCATCTGTAGCTGCTGTGACCGCCTCCGTGGTCTTGTGGTAGAGCGTCCGCCCGGTGAGCGGAAGGTCCGGCGTTCGATCCCCGGCCGCGTCATACCAAAAGACGTTAAAAGATGGTACTTGTTGTTACCCTGTCTGGCGCTCGGCATTAAGGGGCTAAAACAAGGACTGGTCGGCTCGGAGTCAGTATACTGTGTCTGAGTGGGGTATTCATGTTAAACTGCGGCATGGTATCTCAGTGAGCTAGCACTATAAATCGGCATCAGTCCGGACTAGTACAAGCAGCCACACAAACACACACATGTACATGCACGTCGCTATATAAGTGCAATAATCTTGGACGCGACGTTAAACCCAATTTCACCTCACCTCACCTCACTGTAGCTGCTGTACTTGACTGAGACTTGCTATGGTCATAGCACTAGACAAGCTGTGAATAACTGGATCCTGATCGATGTTTAATATTGGCACACAAAAATTAGCATCCCTATGAAATGGGTCTGCTTTGAGAATATATTTTGCCGGTGATTTTTCATAGATCTACGACACACATAGATTATTAGAGACGATTCTTCCATGAACATTTCCAAATGGCCATGAGGAAGTCTTCTGGCACAAGTCATGGAAAGTTTGCAGGTCAAGGATTGTGGTGACACTTTCTCAAAATATATTAATGTATTTATCATTAGACTTTGTGTTACCTTCTCGAGGATGGGGACCTGCTTTAAAAAGAAATTGATCAAGATTAATCAAACATCAAGATCAGATGGTTATATCACAGTCAGTTTCTGAGGCATGGATACCTCTGCAGACACAAGGTTTTACACTCTACGTCTTTCTGAACAAATCCTACCACATCAAATTTGAAAGGTCAGGGTCACCTTTTAGGTATTTGTCAGAAGAGGCTTCATTGCTCTTCTCTTGAATACTGTGCGAAGACTATTGACATTAACAGATATCCTGCAATAGACTTATTTCATGTGTAATTGTGGAATTTGTTTGGCACACACCATGAGGTTAAAGGTAAAGGTCAGAGAGAAAAATGTCTCTTAAAAGATTAAGGTCACACTTTGCATTTGTCATTAAACTTGGTATGTACCTTCTAAAGGATGGGGCTCTGCTCTGGAAAACTGTTGAAGATTTGTCAAAAGTCAAGGTCACCATCTTTTCAAAACATGTTGATTTTGAGTGTCTGAGTTACCTCTACATGCATCTTTACAAATACTACAGAATGAAATATTGGCTTGTCTGTCCAATGTCAAGGTCATCTGCGAGGTTGTTTTGAATCATGGTTGTATCATTCTCTGGCAGTTACTGTGTTGTGACAAGTCATGATTTACTGAAATATTGTTCCAGGCGGTGTTAGATCCAACCCACTCACTCACTCTCCTACACCTGTCATTTTTGGCTTTCCTCCCACTCACAAGGCCTGAGATGACCGAAATACTGTTCATGGCTGTATCATGATGAACTTCGCTAAAACCAACTGATCCGAAGAAATACTTCTATAGACATGATAAATGAAGCATTGAGGTATTCAGCGGTAGAAACTAACAGCTTCAGTCCACTAGTCCTTATAATGATAACATATTTCAAAGCCCTGAAACAATGGCAAATTTCTACTTGTCCCTATGATACCTATTGGGCAGCTTGGCAAGGACTATAGGACTAGTGCCAATGTCTAACGCTGGGTATTGTTTCAGTTGGACAGTGATGTGAAGGCCAATGTCTAACGCTGGGTATTGTTTCAGTTGGACAGTGATGTGAAGGCCTATGTCTAAAGCTGGGTATTGTTTCAGTTGGACAGTGATGTGAAGGCCAATGTCTAACGCTGGGTATTGTTTCAGTTGGACAGTGATGTGAAGGCCTATGTCTAACGCTGGGTATTGTTTCAGTTGGACAGTGATGTGAAGGCCTATGTCTAACGCTGGGTATTGTTTCAGTTGGACAGTGATGTGAAGGCCTATGTCTAACGCTGGGTATTGTTTCAGTTGGACAGTGATGTGAAGGCCTATGTCTAACGCTGGGTATTGTTTCAGTTGGACAGTGATGTGAAGGCCTATGTCTAACGCTGGGTATTGTTTCAGTTGGACAGTGATGTGAAGGCCTATGTCTAACGCTGGGTATTGTTTCAGTTGGACAGTGATGTGAAGGCCTATGTCTAACGCTGGGTATTGTTTCAGTTGGACAGTGATGTGAAGGCCTATGTCTAACGCTGGGTATTGTTTCAGTTGGACAGTGATGTGAAGGCCTATGTCTAACGCTGGGTATTGTTTCAGTTGGACAGTGATGTGAAGGCCAACGTGACCTGTGCCTGCTACAACTACAATGGAACAGGTGAGAGGCTTGTGTCTTGATCATTCTCTGGGAGCAAATAGATCAGGGGGTCAGGGTCAGGGTCAGGGTCAGGGTCAGTGACTTAGTTGATAAAAGTCTCCTCTCATCCTGAAATGTTGCTCACAATATCTCTCTGGATTGTCTGGTCCGGGCTTGATTATTTACACTCCCTGCCATACAGCTGGGAATATTGCTCAGTGCTGCGTTAAACAACAAACAAATAAAACTTGTTGTATATGCAGTATGTGTATTGTATCGTGGCTTCTGTATCGCGATACGTATTGTATCATGTTATATCTGTATCGAGACCTCCCCTGTTATCATTGATGGTGCTTCAATATCTCAGTGGCATTTTTCGGAAGACTGTCTTAGTTCGGTGGCAAAGCAGGTTTCCTTGACAGGTTTGAAAGAATAATGAACTGGATAAAGTGATATTGAGCATCCTTCTCTCTGTGTGGTTGTAGAGGTGCTGGGGACATACAATGATGAGGACATCTACCTGTTCAACAACTTCCACTCCGACGGGGCAGAGTTCACACAGAGGTACCGCGGTCATCGCAATAACGCTACAGGTACGTCCCCTGTTCATTTCATGTTTGTAGTGATCACTTTCTCATTATTTGTTTAATGTTTGCTTGTCTGTCACCTGTAGATCGAAAACTTATCATGAAAGACAACTATCTTTTCAAGGTAGCACTACTACCATATGGTAACATGTTCTTAGGCAGCAGATACAAATATGTTTACAGTAACTGTGAATGTGACAATGTAATGGATGGCATCTACAGGTATCATTTTTTTAGTAACAGTTCATTCATTGTAGCTGAAGCCTACTTTATATATTTGCATGAGTTTATGATCACATTGTTGGTGGCATGGCAATAGAAAGTTGTATTTATGTACATCTGTGTGTTCAACCTAATATTTGGGTGTGAATATTTGTCTCAATTAGGGCTGGGAAGGGGGCAGACGGGTAGCCTAGAAGTTAAAGCGTTTGCTCGTCACGCCGAAGACCCTGGTTCGATTCCTGGACATGGGTACAATGTGTGAAGCCCATTTCTAGTGTCCCCCGCCGTGACATTGCTGGAATATTGCTAAAAGCGGCGTAAAACCATACTCACTCACTCACTAGGGCTGGAAGGAGTCCATATTTACTACCCAGGGACAAACCCACCTATTACCTGACCCTACCCGGATACCCACTGTAGGTCTCAACAGATAGGTACAAAATGTCCGATTGGGAATGGTTTGACTGTAGCCCTGGATAAAATGTATTTAGAGACGTATAAAACGATCTGGTCATGCATGCATTGAAGTTGACTGAAGTTTTATCTTTATTCAAACATATAAACGTCTGGGTGCATTGTCAGAAAGAAATGCCAACATTAGTGACTTGTGGTGTAACGATATAGTTCAAGATCATTTTTGTCATTAAACAATATATCACATGACCAACCACGGGTCCAGGTAGTTCTGTGGGTACCCGGGTCCTTCTCAGTACCCACCTGACCCGAGTACCCGAGTGACCCATCCCGGCCCTAGTCTCAGTAATAGCAAGTTGTGTAGACTAGTGCTCCAGCAAGGGTTCTAAGGACTGTGTTACATTTAATTCATCATCTTCAGTTTGTATTATTAACTTCCACAAATAAATGACCAAGTTAGATATCTGGCAGTAGCTGGTTGTTCTGGTGACGCTTCGTTTAGTGTGTGTAATATACGTTGTAGCAGTATCACGAGAGGTATAATAATACATTATGTGTCTCCAATAGAAGCATGATAAGATTGTAGGACCTAATGACCTCAGGCTGCACTTTCACACAGGTTTGGCACTGTAAAATCTTTCTCATATCGGGACAGCGTTCACTGTTTTCACACTTGATGATGGCAGATGAACTGAGATAATTTGTACCTAACACAGAATTTCCCAGTTGACTGATTCCCAAAGAAAGGGTACGTGAGACCCGTTTTAGAGCTTCCATTTTGGGAAACTCCTCTGTGGGATATACTTTGCGCTATGCTGTGTCATTTTAAGGAATAATTTCAAAACAGTTGTATATTTATGATAGTAGTAAACTTAGTCTGAGACAACACTTCGATGACCCTCACAACCTAACCCTGTCCGATGTCGTAGAGTTTTAGATGAGAGGAAATTGAGGTAAGTTCCTCACAGCGATAGCCCGTTCATGTAGCTCTCTATACTGTCGCTGCCACCAGTCAAAACTCCCTACTGTGAAAGGTGGCCACAACCATGCTTGGAGTTTAACTTGCAGCCGACTGACCGTTATGTTTACAAACAAGTGATGATTGCTGTGACGCTGAATATTCTTACCCCTTCTAAATTATTTTCTTTGTTTGTCAGTTTGAATTTCTGTTTCGAAACAACTATCATGTAATTGGTAAAGTAAGACTGTAAGGAAAATTTGGTTGATTTTCTGTTCGTCTGGATCTCGATCCAATCTGATCAAACAAACAAAAAGTTAAATTCATCTGGGAAATATGGTCAGTCGTAAACTTGTTCAAAATTCACTATGATTGCATTCCCAAAGACATAAACAAAAGTATAAACATTACTACATTTGGGATTAGAGGGCAAATTCCAAGATTCTTGTCATGGCCGCGCCCACACTGGTGGCAGCGATGTTACCGAGAGTGTAACGAAAGTGTCACGTGCTGGGAAGGAGCTTGGAAAATGAGGGCTAAAAGGGAGGTAACTCTAGTCTGGCATGGTGGAGAGGTACCTCGTTTGGTTCTGTGTTAGAGAATCAAAGAAAGAAGAAAGAAAGTTGCACTCTGTTGTATGAGGATAAGTAGGCTAATATCATCACTGAACAAGTTTGTTGAACTTTCTGTCCCCACTTGAATGCAGAGTGATGGTGTTTGGCTGCAATGTTGGGCATGTGTTTCAGTGAAGGGAGTGAACTTCTATGGGCCTAAGAGTGATGGTGTTTGGCTGCAATGTTGGGCATGTGTTTCAGTGAAGGGAGTGAACTTCTATGGGCCTAAGAGTGATGGTGTTTGGCTGCAATGTTGGGCATGTGTTTCAGTGAAGGGAGTGAACTTCTATGGGCCTAAGAGTGATGGTGTTTGGCTGCAATGTTGGGCATGTGTTTCAGTGAAGGGAGTGAACTTCTATGGGCCTAAGAGTGATGGTGTTTGGCTGCAATGTTGGGCATGTGTTTCAGTGAAGGGAGTGAACTTCTATGGGCCTAAGAGTGAGTACATCGTGAGCGGCAGTGACTGCGGCCATGTGTTTCTGTGGGACAAGGAGACGGCCAAGATCGTCAACTTCATGGAAGGCGATGAAGGAGGTGTGGTGAGTTCAATCAAATACTCATTATGATGGATTTATTACACTAAGAGTTTTGATTCTCAGGATTGTCTAGTACAGACACGTTTATGAACAGGCTGGTGTCATATAGCTGGTGTCATATAGCTGGTGTCACATAGCTGGTGTCACATAGCTGGTGTCATAGCTGGTGTCACGTGTCACATAGCTGGTGTCACATAGCTGGTGTCACGTGTCATATAGCTGGTGTCACGTGTCACATAGCTGGTGTCACATAGCTGGTGTCACGTGTCACATAGCTGGTGTCACGTGTCACATAGCTGGTGTCACCAAGCTGGTATATTGCTGAGTGTGACATAAAACAAGAAGCCAACAAAACCAAGACTTTGATTCACCTAAAGACAAGGTATTAGTATAGGTTTCAACTAGGGCTCTTACGATTCACTCTCGTATTCGGTGAATCGAACCGTAACCATTCATGAATTGAATTTGTTATTCATGGCCACTAGAATCGAATATTTATGAATATGCTATCATGTATATTTACATACCCTGTACCTAAAAATATCCATAACAACACTCTAATAATATTTAATCTGATAGTATTGCTGTCACTGGTCATTGTCGCATTTGAGCAGATACTAGTACCTGGATAAGTGCAGTATATAGATGCATAATTTATTAATAATTAACAAACCATGTCAAATAAATTATGACGTTATTGTTTCACTGAATATAATAAATACTACATCAACTGCTGACTTGTTATTGTAATTGTGAAATACTATTCGTATTTGTTACCCTATATTTGTGATATGAATCGTATTCGCCTCATAGTGTATTCGTTGCAGCCCCAGTTTCAACTTCTGTTTTTATGCAATTTTTCAGTAAAGGTGCTTGTACCTTTATCAAGCAAGTGATCAACAACTGGGTAGGACTTGGTTTCCCATCATCAAACCCTGTTCACTGATACTAAAGCTTTGAAATCCCACTGAGAGTTATCAGTTTTCACCCAGTGTGGATCCCGGGTTAAAGTCAATCCCAGCTGCCTTTGCTGGTCGTAAGAGGCAACCAAATGAATTTCTGGCCAGGCTGACTTGGTTGATTGGGTGTCATCATAGCCCAATGACGTGGATCGTTGTTCGCAATATCAATCACTGGATTGTCTGGTCCAGACACGTTTATTACAGGCTGCCGTCATACAGCTGGAATATTCCTGAGTGCAGAGTTAAACAACAAACAAACAAACAAACAAACAAATGTCTCTGACCATCTTTGTTTTTGTTATCAGATCAACGTGCTGGAGCCCCATCCCTTCGCACCGATCCTGGCTACGAGTGGGTTAGACCATGATGTCAAGATCTGGGCACCCACAGCGGAGGAACCAACCCGACTGAAGGGACTGAGGAAGGTAAATATACACAGCGGCCAAATGTCATGAATTGTTCGTATTTGTTGTCAATTTGCTTACTTCATTTGAATAATATGCCAATCTATGAAAGAAAATCACATGGACTAAACCTTCACAGACACTAGTATTCAAAAAGGGGGCCATTATTTGGCCTTACACCTAGTTACGGACATGTCTTGCATGTGTCCAGTCAAAGCACTCCTCTCGTATAATCGGAAGTTGCTGCAGTTGAAACAGAAACTAAGCAATGAAATGATGAACTGAGTTTCGGAATCAGATGTCTGTATTGTACTGTAGACGATACATGTCATTGTGCTTTGGTGTCCCGACCAGATGCCACTTTGTTGAGTTCCTCTCCCTGTGCCTCACAGTGGAGATTCGGGGTAGGATAGATCCCCGGCAGTCTGCGCTGGATCGAGTGCTCAGATTCAGTGATTGTCACCGTCCCCAGACCGTATTGATTGTTTATCAATCACTAAATTATTTGATCCAGACATATCTCCACGTTACACCAGATTTCCCCAACTGTACAATTAGAGGTGTAGGGTGATCTACATGTTTCAAGAGGTGCTCATGATATCAATCACTGGATCAGGGACTCAAAGCCTTTATTTGTGGGGGTCTCAGCTTAAATAAATCCCTGTCTGGGTTGTCCTGTCCAGACTTTATTACCTACAGGCTATCGTTATGTAGCTGGAATACTGCTGGGTGCTGTGTTAAACAACAAGCAACATACATTTGCAGGCAGTGAAGCGGAACTGTAAAGAGAGAGATGAGGAGAGAACGCAAGAGCCGGAGATGATCGATGGGCAGATGCTGTGGTTTATCATGCACCACTTCCGGCGCTCAGCCAGGAGGAGGGTAGGTTTCGTATTTCGGCAATCTCTGTTCTAGGACATGGCAGAAGAGGTCCCCCAGTACTGCATGCTTTTCAGAGCTGATTAGATGAGGATTTGTCAAACTCAGTGATCTTGCTGATTGTGTGTGATTGTGTCCGGACATCGGAATGTTGATCATGATGACGTCATAGGATAGGGATAGGTGACGTCACATTGAATAGTGACGTCATCTGGTTTGTTCTATGACATTTCCATATTTGTAAAAGTAGGTCAGTGACATTCGTGTTGATTGCAGTAAATGTTTCAAAACCGATAGAGTTGTTTCTTTTTATTTGATAACAAATTCCATCCATTTTAGCTATAATAATGGTAACGCTATTTTTCAGGGCATTGTCATTTGCAGAAGCCTTCGGTCTTTTCAACTGCTCTCCTTCGTCGAGCAGTTAATAGAAGACCTCGGGCTTCTGCAAATGATAATGCCCTGAAAAATAGCGTTACCATTATAATATGCAGTGCCTGTGCCTGGTGTTTTCTCCCTTATTTTGTTTAAAGCCATAAGAAAAAAATTAAGTGGTGAAAGAAGTGTCCTTATGCAACACTTACAGATGAAATATTTATCCTGCCCAGTTGTTCCCGACTTCCTGATTGACTCCGGCAATACTGCTTTAGGAGAGGTTAGACAAGCCCTGCTAAATCAAACCATTTCATGCAGACTGAAACAAATAATTTCATTATTTGGGTCAGCAGTTGCTAAGTGAAACTATTGTCTTCCTTTTATCAGTTGCGTCAAGAAGGGGAAGAGGTGTCGAGTTCCAGCGAAAACAGCGACTCTGATTCTGATGAGGAAGAGGCTGAGGACCCTGAAAGACTACAATGTACCCCGTCCTAGTCATGTGATGGTCATGTGACACGCATGTTGTCAAATGCATAAGATGTTCTAGCCACGTCACATGACATGGATTATGTGACAGTCACATGGCATCAGATGGTCATGTGACTTGAAATCCTAGCTGTGTTGCAGTTACTTGTTGCATGTGTGACCACTGCCAGTTTGCATTACAAATAAGACATTGTTGGGATGATCATGACACCACAAGGCATTTAATGCTATCAGTGCATCACCATTATAACACATGGCAGTACAGCATTGAAGAAACGCCCTCACTTTAAGGCAGGTGGAGGAACTTGAAAATAGCAAGTTTCAGGAATCTGCAGAATTCGGAAAACATTTTGGAAGAATCAGTTATGAAATTTATTAAGATCCGAGAACGTTACCTTCAAATTATAGCTTTGTTTACGATGAGATAATGTCACCATATTGAATTAACTAAACAGTCTTTTTCTGTGAATATTGTAAAAACAGTTGAGTTCAGAAGATCAGTTTAGCCTATGTATATGTGAGGTATAGTGGTGTGAATATCTCTGCTCACAACCCTGCTAGCTTGTGTGTAGTGTGTTTCAAGGAAGTAAGCAGTTGATACGTATCACCGGTACTGAACTTACAAGGAGGGAAGAGCTGCTTTCACTTCAAGAACGCCCCCATGGTTGCTGTTTCGTGTTCTCTGAAGATACCTGGTTTTGGATCTGTGCTAAATGTGATAATCATGCAGAAATATGTGGTGAAAATGACCTGAAAGAAGCTTCTTGTAAGTCTGAGCTATGGCTAAAATTCTCCCAGAAAGTAACTCTTCTTCAACTTGGAAAATTGACTTTTCTTTGGTCTGTTTTAGGAACACATTTATGACTTGTCTGAACATTATCACCAGATGTGGCAGGCAGAATATTAGGATCAGATGGACTTAGGTTTGATCTGCCTCACCAGAGAGATGGTTCTACAGGGATGGAAATTAACTCAATGGATTAGTGGGAGTTTTTCACTGTAAAGGTTACTAATATGATAAAATATGAAGACTTTGAAATTATAATCTTTTATTTGCCATAAGCACATTCTGTTGTTAAGGTTCAGTGACAATGTATAGGTTGGTAAATTCGAAAATTGTGTACATTATTCATTACAAGAAAGACTTGAACGATTGTGCCAAATGTTTATCGCAGCAATTTGAGAGGGTAAACCGATAGGGTGATAGATAATTTACAGCTTATGTCAAAAAAAGTTACAGGGCTAGTAGACATAATTTTTTAGCCCAAAGTAATTTCGACTGGCCTTGGGCCTACGGTCAAGCATTAATTTCCATCCCTTGTTTCTACAGTCAATATGCTGATTTGTACACAGAACAAGAACAGAGCATCGTGATGCAGGAAACATGGGAACATTCTTGACGAACTTCTCCTTGACGCAGTTCATGCCATAGCAACCTAGAGATTCATTCATTATTCTTATGAGTATTTGCACTGCTGTGTAAAGTTTAAAAAGACAAATTTACTAGAAATAGATTATTTTTCAAATTTTCAATTGAAAATCATCATCAAAGAGAGCATTCTCATATCGTGATCCCAGCTTCGATATATTATGCTAGGTGATAGTTTGACAGCAACTGTAACTCATAGCTTTAATGAAACATAGATGGGTGACTTACTGTACGACATGTAAAATCTGTACATATTGTATGCTTGTATGCTAATATTGTGTGACGTTATTGAGTTTGAAGATGTATGATCCTGTGTTCCTGTATAATCTCTACAGTTTGCCATATCAGCTAGATCTAACATTTTATATTTTGTTTCTGGTGTCCAGTGTTCCTGCATTTAGATACTCCTATGCTGGATTGAGTAATGGCAGTTGAGGACAAGCTAGGTGTGATTTTGTTATTTTTGCATGCCGTGTTGGCGACATGTTGATAATGTTTGTAAGTGCAAGGCTTCGAGTTCACTTTGTAGAATTGCTCCTAGATAATGAAGTGTATTCCAGAATCTTTTTGGGTGCTGTGATAAAGTTCTGCCCTGAAAGTGTTCCTTGTGTTGAAAAAGTAGAATATGGATCCCAAATGGGTCATGCTTTTTGCGACTAACGGGATTGGGTGGTCAGACTCACTGACTTGGTTGATGCATGTCATCGATCCCAATTGCGTAGATCGCAGCTCATGATGTCAATCACTGGATAGTCTGGTCCAGAATCGATTATTTACAGACCGCCGTCATATAGCTGGAATATTGCTGAGTGCGGCGTTAAACAACAAACAAACAAAAGAAACAAAAACATGTTTTTTTAAAGAGGTGAGGTAAAATGGGGTTTATGATCCAACCACGAGCCTTAGAGGCGACTATGATGGGGGTCAGGGGGTCACAATGGGTACTGAGTGGTGGTGGTATTTGGCTGGATGACCACAATCGTCGAGGTACAACTGCTTTAAGTAATGTTGACGCATGGGAGTCGGATCACTTAGATTGTGTGATACCAGACCCTTGAGTTCTGCTCTTGTTTTCGACAAATGATTTGCGATGCGGGCTCAATGACAGATTGCAGTGATACAGCTTTTCTATTGCTCACTGTGGCAGTGTCCCTACATTCACCAGCACACTCCCTCATTGTCTATCCCTGACCCACGCCCTTCAATCACAAGACCAAATGAATACATTACGACTCCCTACACAGTATTGTACATCTGACATAGATCATTTTTAATGGGGATCTGACTGATAGTTGTTGCGCTTTTTGGAATCCAGATGCCAGTAATGACTAACATAAATGATAGATACAGACAAGATATCAAGTTATTTAAGGACCACTACCTCCATTTCTCTCCTAAAAATGGGGGTAAATAAAACACTTGCGGGAGGAATGGGAGACCCAGTTGTCTAAGGAACAATAATTTGCTTTGCAGAGTTGCATCCTTGGTTGGTCAGCCCACTGCTTGTGGGTTTGATAAACAGAGGTGTTAACACCAACAGTTCCAAGTGGTGTTGAAGCCAACTCACTTACTCCTGATTACCAAGAGAGTTTCAGTATCTTGTTCCTCAGTGATAATCTCTTGTCACGTCTCACCCCCTCTGTGGTCTACTGGTAGAGCGTCTGCCCGGAGAGCGGAAGGTTGGGTGGTCGATCCCTGGTCACGTCATGCCAAGAGAGGTTAAAAAATGGTACTTGTTGTCACCTTGCCTGGCGCTTGGCATAAGGGGCTAAAACAAAGACTGGTGTCTCGGGTTCAGTATACTGTGTCTGAGTGGGGTAGTCATGTTAAACTGCAACATGGTATCTCAGTGGGCGAGCACTATTAAATTGACATTAGCCTGGACTAGTACAAGCAGCACACACACACTCACACACGCCATATGCTATATATAAGTGCAATAATATTGAGCGTGACGTTAAACCCCATTTCACCTCACCTTGTCACATCTTGACCATGCACATGGTATTGTCCTGACATCCAGCTGGAACTATTGTGTTACATAGTGCTGATAATTAGCTTGATTTTTGGGCAAATCATGTTGCTCCATTTTCTAACAAATTTTGTAGGATTATGTAAATAATTAATCCAACTCAGTGTACATAATGTAACAGTTATTTAATGTATTAGTTTCAAACAATTACCTGATCTATGTGTGTTTGAAGATGTGGGTGATTTTCAGCCAGAATGTGATGACATGTTGATAGAATACTGACTACATTTGTTGGGGCAATAAAACCTGAAACAATCAGATAAAACCATCCTTACACCGTGTTTCTTTTAATAAATGTTTCAGATTTCTTTTTCCTGAACCACAGGCCTTGTGGTTTGAAGAAAACTTCTTCTTTTTTTTAAAAGTATATTTTTATGTGATATCAAAGAATGTCTTGTTAGGATGAAACAAAAAGGTTTACACCCCCTGTTCACCAAATAAGAATTGTTTCGTTTTTTCCTCATTAATAAACGTCTGGTTTGGGGGATCAGTTAACCAAGTTTTGAAAAGAATAAATCAGTAGTTTAGCCTGATAAGCCTTAGAACTTTTCAACCATGTTATAACACACATGACTGCTGACATGAGGTTTTGACGTAAGAACAGACCATATGCCTTCGTGCTTGCAAGGAAGGTCACTGTGGGATGTGGTTGTGTCCACACACAAAGGTTGATGTGGCTGTGGTTGCACGTAACAGTCAGTCGCTGTGGTTGCACATACCTTGACACAGTTGAGCAAGAAGGTCGATGTGGCTGTGGTTGCACGTAACGCACTACCTTGACACAGTTGAGCAGAAAGGTCGATGTGGCTGTGGTTGCCCACAGCACAGTCAGTCGCTGTGGTTGCACATACCTAGACACAGTTGAGCAAGAAGGTGGCTCTGGTAGCACGTAACACAGTCAGTCGCTGTGGTTGCAGACACCTTAACTTGGAATGTGGCTGAACAAAGGTGGCAGATAGTCAAAGAAGGTTATCTGTTTGTAGGTTGGTATCCAGCTGAGTCATCACAGTTTGTTGTGGATTCACAGACATAAACATCAAATATGTCACATGTGAAGTGAAAACTGCTGTTATATCATTGAAAATACATAACAGCGTAAAGCCCAAGATGAGTCGCCCACTCATGGCAAGGAATGAATGTCGGCACCTTGTCAAGATTTCTCTTAGGTTATCTGTGATATTTCTTAGGTCTGATTACAGCACAGACATTTGCACACTCAATTAAACCCAATTCTGACTGAAAATAACTGGATGTGTGTTTCACCTGATGTGTAATATTTTCCTAGTATATAATATACTACTCACCATTTGCTAAGAACCACACCTTTAAATTTCTAATTTGGTTCTTATCAAATGTTGAGTAATATAGAAAGTGCTTATATTTGTTGCAATTGTTCATAGCATATAACTGAGGTACTTTATTCCTGATGTTTAATAATTCCATGAGTCAAGAAATACAGTGGTTCTTTTCCACAATGGACTTGTTTGTTGTGTTTGATGTTAACTACATGTTGCCCAAGTGAAAATATATCTGCAGTGGTGAATACTCAACCTACACAACTGCTACCAGAAGAAAACACAGACCCTGTCTTCAATTAAGTGGGATTCAGAGATGCTGCTTTGACATTTTACATCTTCAGGTCAAGATGTTGCGAGTATTTGTCAGTATGTGATCTGTTGAGAGTTGGTTCAAATCCAAGATTGCCCTCAACATGTTCAGAGGTTTGTCCTCACATTGTTTGTATGATTCATTAATGTAAACATCTTTGACCTACGCCACACAGCCTTTTATGTGGCAGTGGTTTAGCCTAGTGGTTAAGCATTCACTCATTGGAAGACCTGGGTTCAATTTCGAACAAGGGTACGATGTGTGAAGCCCATAATTGCTTTGAATACACTCCCTCTTTTGCGCCATCGTCATAAGTTACTGTTTTGGTTGCAAACACTCTAAAATCTTCAGATTATTTTAACAGACGTCCTCTTCACTGCCAACATATCTGATAGTTGTGGTTGGTTTGTTTAACGCCGCACTCAGCAGTAAACCCTAACCTTATCAACTGTGTATGCGTGAGGCCGGAAAACGTCACTTCCTTCCTGTGTGTCCAAAATATAAAATTAAACAATTTTGATCACATCTAATTCACAATTGGTCATTTCACACTGTAACCTCTGTAGATCGTCTTATAGACAAGGATAAGCTGAGAGCAGTATCTACGGTTTAGGGAGTATGTGAAACAAGATCGTTCTCGTATGTGGTCAGTTAAGGCACATATTGTGGGAGATGGACGCTCATCGATCCGAACTGCGTGGATCGATGCTCACGATATTAATCACTAGATTGTCTGGTCCAGACTCGATTATTTACAGACCGCCGTCATATAGCTGGAATATTGCTGAGTGCGGCGTTAAACAACAAACCAGCCAACCAACCAACTCATTCTATAACGCCGGCGGGGGTGTGTGCTCAAGGTGCGCCATTGGTCACGTGATTAACGATCCTCACCCTAGCTTCCAATCATGCAAACAGAACGTGTACACAAGACTCGAGCTGTTTCTGCAGACATCTAAAACTTCCTGAAACCGTGGGCATAAATCGGAAGTCAAGATAGGCAAACATCTTTTGTAATAACTACCAATAACAGACAGAAATCAGATAAAGTGTCATTTCCTAGGTTGATTAAAGATGAATCACTGAGAGGCACGTGGGTGACAAGACGGCGACGATGGGGATCTCGTTTCCGTCCCACCAGCCCCAGGGTACAAAGCAAGCATGCCTCACTGGATACCGATCCACTGATGTGCGTAAAACCCAAATCACCCACGCGCTCCCTTTGACCTGAAGGAGTTTTCTGAAAACATCAGTGTTTTTAATTGACAAATGTCTTACATCTAGAAATGAAAGAAAACAGCCACTCAGCACGAGGATACTGATTCTTCAACGCTGCATTAATCAGTGACAGATCATCGTCAACCAGAGGTCGCTATTCTTCCAGTCAGTCTGTGTCGGTAGACACTCATGACAAACGAAGGGTCATTAGCAAACAGTCCTGAAAATCACCCTCTTATCAGATATCAAATGAAAAGGACTCTACGCGACGGACTTATCGTCTCAGAAGGTATAGCCATCAATTTTCGAGTTATCAATAACATGACTGAAGACGAGTAGAGGAAACTCCTACAGATGTTGTAAGGCCTACCAGACGTTTCCCTTCGCATACCGTTACGTGGGATTCTGTGCTCTACCTTTCCCGTCGTACACTGAAAACATCATTAAGAAGGTAGACAAGTCTTTGAAGGCATCGCAAGCTAACAAGATGTTAGACTCGGGCTTCTCTCTAACAGGTCTCACTACAAAATACCAGCCCCCTCCTAACATCGTTGAAGATTATCAGGAGATTGTTAAATCTCTCGACTGAAATGCAAGTCGACATGACCAAATTCAAAAGGACTGATACTGTTAAGAAGTAGATGCTAAATACCAACGCCTACATCAACTGTGTTTACTGCAGGCGTCAGGCATGTCATTCCTCCAACCTAGACGAATATCTACCCTTGGACCCCAGAGTCGACATGAGAATAGTGCAGCTGAGTTTCACTCACAGCTCATTTAGATCCAGATGTTAGAGGATATCCAGTCAGCTCAGGTTTGCCCTTGGATAAGTTTCTTCAGAACGTCACGGAGCCATTGAAGAGAAGTATGTTGACATACCAGCCCATTTCAAACCAAGAGAGATACTTCCAAGCGCAAACATGTAACATCTGGGCTGGAGTCTTTTGGTGCCCCAACATGAAAAGACAGGGCGTGGCCTCCCACGGTGAGTGGGTGTAATTAAAATTGGTTGTTGGTGTCAGTTTAAATTTTCAACATAATCCTCTCCGATGTCCATGCTTCTGCCAACGATGCTTGAGAGTTTCATTCTGCCCATCTACAAAACCCTCCACACCAAAATGGCGTCTTCATCGTTTCCATAATGCTTGTCAGACCGTTCAATTTTACGCTTTGTAGCTATTACGACAGCGAGCTTGTGCATATGCACATTGTCCAGGTGAAGCAACTATACCATAAGGAGTGAGTGAGTGAGTGAGTACGCCGCTTTTAGCAATATTCCAGCAATATCACGGCGGGGGACACCAGAAATGGGCTTCGCACATTGTACCCATGTTGGGAATCGAACCCGGGTCTTCGGCGTGACGAGCGAACGCTTTAACCACGGGGCTACCCGACCGCCCCTATACCTTAAGGAGCTTCCCATGACGTTTATTCTTCATATTCTCGCGCAGTCGTCATAACTATTTGTCATAATATTAGCTGTCTGACCTTTCAGGTGGTAGCACTAGCCCGATTCCATTGGAATCCCAGAAATCCGAAGCCATCACCTTCCCAGGTGATGCAAAAGATTTGGCCTTCTGAGAAAGACACGTGATATGTTTCCTCTGCTTGGATTGTTGTTTAGTCACTGGCTGATTGTGGTGAATCTGAGACTCGTCCATGGCTACAGTTCGCTCAACAAAACCAGCTGTTATATTGCAAAAATAAGATGATGAACCTGGAGTGTTTCTGATCAAGAGTCAGCCTTGGAACCCAACGTGCTGATGCCTTTGTCATGCCTACTTCATTTCTCAGAGACCGCCTCCGTGGTCTAGTGGTAGAGCGTCCGCCCGGAGAGCGGAAGGTCCGGAGTTCGATCCCCGGCCGCGTCATACCAAAAGACGTTAAAAGATGGTTCTTGTTGTTACCCTGTCTGGCGCTCGGCATTAAGGGGCCAAAACAAGGACTGGTCGGCTCGGAGTCAGTATACTGTGTCTGAGTGGGGTATTCATGTTAAACTGCGGCATGGTATCTCAGTGAGCTAGCACTATAAATCGGCATCAGTCCGGTCTAGTACAAGCAGCCACACACGTGCATGCACGTCGCTATATAAGTGCAATAATCTTGGACGCGACGTTAAACCCCATTTCACCTCACCTCATTTCTCAGAATGTTCTCGACACTTTTGTGAGAAGTACCTCGCTCACTGCTTGTTTGACGTATGGCGCGTCGTCGATCCTCCATAATGACATCAAGTATTTCATCAGCATTTTTCTAAGTGGTTGAAGCTGAAAGTCTTCCTGATCTTTGATCATCTTCTCTGCGACATGCGCCACTTAGGATTTTTAACCCACATTAAGCTGACATGCCCTGATATAACTGGAATTACGCTCAACACCGCGTTGAACCGAACTCGCTCCTAAAGAGTGTTCACAGTGAGAGTGGGCCTAATGGTTAAAGTGTTCACCCGAAACCCGGGTTTGATTCCCCACCTGGGTACAGTGTGCGAAGCCCATTGGTGGTGGGGGCTGTCGGGTAGCCTAGTGGTTAAAGCGGTCTTTCGTAACGCTGAAAACCCGGGTTTGATTCCCCACCTGGGTACAATGTGCGAAGCCCATTGGTGGTGTCCCACCGTAATATTGCTAAACGCGACATAAAACCCTCACTTTGACAGACATTTTGGGAAGCGATCGTAAAATACACCGATGCTCACAGTCACACATGGGGCACAATCTGCTGAAAAAACAGTCCCAACACTGCTGACATTTTCACATTTTATTGAAAAGCGAACAAGTTGCATGATATCAAAAAGAGGCACAAGACCATTCCTTACATCTACTTCTTCCTCTTTCACCAGGTTGCGAACATATTCATGTACTAACGACAAGAGTGACTACACTTGCATTTGACATTTACGCTGCTGCTACTACATGCAAAGCATCGTCACGTGAGCAGCGGTGATTTCAAACTGGATTACAAATCCATCTCCTTAGGAACCCACTGTATGGTATTGTGGGGAGGGATGGGTGGCAGGGTGGTTTTTTTTGGAAAAAATAATTAACAAACGTAAAAAACACATTAATGTGCTTATGAAGTGTTAAGACAAACTGATTTACCTTCTTTTTGTACCCAAACTGCAGATATTGAAAAGTTGGTTCTCAGGTGAACCTCTTGAATTAATTTGTATTTTGGCGCCATTGTTTGTTTAAACGCCAGCATCCGTAATTCAGGGAGTCCATGACGGCTGTATCATCGCGCTTGATGAAAAAATGCTATGCACAACATGTTTACTTTAGGAATACTTCAATGTATTGTACAACAATTATTAAATCATTTGAGAGGCTACACCTCAAATCATTCGGGAAATGTTTCGCAGTACATGGGGCCCAGTGTACATGTGCTGTAATCCCAACTGATGCAGGAAAGAAGCCGTGATGTACAGAAGGTGATATTGACCATTGTTGACCATTGTTGGATTACGTGGCACTGACATGTTCTCCGAGTTTATGACATAATCAAGGTATTCTAAGGATCGTCTGTGTTTACGTATTGAACATGGTTACATAAGTACTTTCAAAACCCTTCCAGTTCAGTCGAATGACCCTGGGCCCTACCTCTAGAGGATCTTATGGACAACCATCATCACTGGAACACCAATGCACATTAC